GTCATGGTTTACGCATGCGACCACGAACATTTCGAGTTAATGAAATTCATGACGCGTGAGTCATCGCACTCATAAAAACAACGGATCAACGCGTGGTAATTTCCGTCCCACGCAAACCGCACACGGGGTGAAATCATTTAAGCCGTAGAACTTGGTTGACGTTATTATCCCGCAAAAAATAGGCGAATGAGTATGCGAGGATGAGATATGACTACGGGTATAACCAGGTGCGTTCGGAGTGTGCTGCGACCTTGTTGAACTTGCCTTACTTTCACTTGTATTACGGTTATCCTCAAGAAGAGAAACGAAAATGAAAGTGGAGAATCCAGGAAAGAATTTTGAAATGTGAGTGAATATGCCACATATGAGTATAAGTAACGTAGGAAATACTCGTATATAGGAAAGTGTTATTTTTCGCTTTTCGCTTTCTTAGAAGGAATGTGTTTGGAGTGAAAACGAGTTTTCTGAGAGATGGATTTATTATTCAAAATAAGCTGCGTGGGCTCAGGAAAAAATTTCATTGAAAAACAGAAGAAAAGGCATTTGCTTTTTATCATTAGTTTGAATTACATGTTTAGTGTGAAGAAAGAAATAATGTTTCCGAAACTGTCTGGAAAGTTGTAAATGAGCATTAATTTTGCGTTTGACTGCACAGTGAAAGAAGTTAAAGTGTAATCAAGCTTAAATATTCAACATTTTATAAAAATTACAAATGGCGGAGGCGTGATTAACAAACGTAACCTAACTTTTCTTTTGATATAATACTGGTACACAATAAAAGTTAAATTATTGGAAAAAACAACAAAAAACTGTGTAATTTTTTGTTATGTTTGTGAAGTTCAGCTACATTTAATATCTAAAATCATTTGTTATGAATTCATCCCCAGAAATGTATAAATTAAATATGTAGAAGAGTTCATTTTAAAAATATGCAGTTAAACTACATTCTATTCAATTTTTCACTCGTTCCGGATGCAGATGTCATCTGCATTGCTACAAATTCCGTGCAAGCGATCAAACGTTTGTCGCATACTTCATATTACACATTTAAAATGTCGCAAATCGTGCTCGGCATACTCGTATCTACACTTTTTTGTATTGTATCCGGAATATTGTGTCAAACGCACTTTGATTGCATGCACAATCTAGACTGATTTATATTCTTCTCGTGGACTTCATAGTACAAAATTTAAAATATACATAGTTGCAGTATTACTATGTTTTACAATTTAAACTATAATTTAAAACATTTTAGTTTGAGACTGACATAAAATAGACTGTCTCAAAAATAATGTCAACGTTATCTTCTTCTATTGTATTAGTTGTATTAAGAATGGCGTTACTTGACAAGAAGCATTAAATTTGAAGTTTGATATCTTTTAATCGTGAGAATCTAGATATCCCAGTGTAAAGTTACGAGATCTAGATGTATAAAACAAAGTCGTGTTAGTTACATCATTTATAACTCAAGAATGGATGCAAAGATTTTTATGATCTATGATTGGTTGGATTCGTCTCGGCCCTGAATAGCAGAATAAATATTAAAATATAAAAAATGAAGACTTAAAGGGTGTTTAATAAAGGGTAAACATTGGTATAAAGATTCAATCGTAATTATAGCTGAATAATTAAATCCTAGATGGCGCTAAAGTGCATTATTACCATTTCTTATTTCGTTAAAATAAAATTGATAATCCTATTAATAAAACTGAGGCAAACTGCGTTTTGAACAAGAAAATAAAACTTAATTAAAATTTTACTAGAAACCTCGCGACTAAAATCTAATATTTGAATAAAACATTCAAATTCAAATATAAAGATTAAGCTTTTGTTTAATTAACGAGTTGCAAATTTCCAATTAATCACAGCTTTCAACTTGGAGTCAAGTTTAATGAAACTTTCTGAAATAGACACACACTATTCCTTAAACTGTGTCAAGATGACAAATTACTCGTATCTCCGCCTAGACAATATAAAAACTTTAAACTCATTAACCAAATTCAATGAATAGTTTTAATTCCAACTCTTTGAATATGCAGTACACTTTTTCACTGCTTTCAAACTGTAATATATATATTATGGAAATGAGAAGAACTACGCGCAATAATAAATGTACTCAAGGACAAAATTTATGCTGACACCACGAAACGAGTAGAAAGATTTTTTGCGACTCGACTAAGACGCTAGATATTGAAGTTTATGAATTATGAAAATCGTGTTATCATGTATTACCCACGATATAAATTCAAGCCAAGTCGCGAAAGCCTTGAACTATTCTTCATGATAATATTTTGAATGTCGCAGCCGTCAGAAAATATTCGACTCATCAACTCATAACTGCCCGGCGGCAAATATTCAACGCTAAAAATGTTGTCGTGCTGTTTCATGATTGGCATATAAAATTGATGTTGCATTATGTTGCATCTAGTGCATCATAATTCACAACGGAACATTGAACTACGCCCGCTGAAACGTACAATGAATTCTTTGACGTGTTTGACTGACGTCCGTAGGCAAATGCGCAGGCGCAAGCTCTGCCCCGTAGATAATGGATATTACTCACGCTTGGCCGTCCGTATATAAAGTACCCCTTTTTGTGCCTAAAAACGGTGGAAAAACTGACCCTTTAAAGGTGGAAGTAAAAACAATTTTATTGTACGTTACAAAAGTACATATTTGGTTAATGCCTCTTATATAGTTGGAACACATAATAGAAACGTATAAAAATATGAAATAAATGGCACGTATTCGCAGAATTACTCTTACTATTAAATTAAACAAAGTTTTACTATAGTTACCATTATAATATAATGAGAAATTATCTTTTGATGCTTATATCTCCATTCCAAGCCATTCAACCTTAAAATTATATGGCAATTACATTCCTTGTGAAGCGAATCATTAACTAATTAATTAGCGTCTACATTCCAGCGATTCATGTTAGTGAAAAGGCACTTAATGGCACACAAGTTCAAGTTTTTCCATTCCAGAGAAAATTGTGCCAAAAATAGAACATCATCAAAGTTCCATTCGTGTTTCTTTCGTTAGAGAATCTTCATCAGCGTGGTTGGGCTGATTATCAGTGTCGTTGTGAATGATTTGAGAGTCCTCGGTGTCGCTTATATAGCCCTGTTCGCCGGTATAGTGGGTGGGATAGAGCAGGAGCGGTGCGGCGGAGAGGGCGCGCAAATCTCGCTGCGGGTAATGAATTTTCCACGCGTGTTGCGGATGCTTATCGAAGAGGATCGGAAGATATTCGTCGACGGGCAGTAGCTTGTCGAGCGGTTGAGCGGCGAGTAGTTTTCGCGCCCCGCGCGCCGTCAACGCATAGCCTAGGGTCCAATAGGAATAGCCCACTTCAACTAGGTATTTGGCGTTCACCACCCACGGCTCGTCGCTCTCTTGCAGTCGCTTCCGACCGAAATAGCTGCAACCAAATGAACAAAGTTGCCAAACACGGTTAAAACTTGAATGCAGCACAACGTAATCCACTTTATATTAAAAAAGAAAAAAGTTATACATACACCAGGTCCCAATCAGGAATAGTCCTTAATTCATCCATTAGTTGACGAACCTTGATGGTAAAAAACGACTCGAATCTCACATCGTCTTCCAAAACCAGCGCTATCTGATGACCTTCCTCCACGATCTGCAAATAGAACTATGAATTAAATGCGCAACGCACGAGTAAATAAATCCTCATGTGACATTGCAAGATGTCGTAAATCGAAGTGAGGATAAGATACAAGATTTCGATTGTTTGCGGTACACAAGGCGAAACTAGTGCGGAACAAATGTGCGAGGACTTTAATTTATGTGGGGGGTTAATTAAATTGCCATGTTAGCAAGAAACACGAAACAAGCAAACAAGCTTGAGGTTTCTCGTTTAGGAAGACAGTAACACCAAGGAACAGGAGGTGCATATAAGTGTTTTAGTGCAACTTAGCAGAAGTATAATGAACATTGTTAGTAAATAACTGTTTGAATGAAATTTCATGAAGCTTCTTCAAAGTGTATTATTACTTTTAAGTAGCAAAATAACGGACAATTAAAAGTATTTAAATTTTACCTAAAGGGTAAGGTAATTGTCTTTATATTAATTTATTATTAAGAAAATGCATATTAAAATTTATTCGGTTCTTTTGCCTAAATAGCTTTTAGTAAAAATTTAAGTAAGATGTACTTTTCATGCTAAAATCAACATTTATCCCTTATTTCACATCCTTAAAGTTATTATTTTCGATCCAAAAGTATCCTACGTTCTTCTCAATACTCTTGAGTATATGTGTACAAAATTTCATGATGATTACTTGAGTAGTTTCAGCATGAAAGCGTAACAAACAAATAAACCCACTAAGAAAAACCTAAAAATGAAGCTTTACGCTATTTTAACACCAAACTGAATGCATTCTTGTTGTTTATTGCATGAAATCGAAAAATTTCATCTATTTTATCGCCTCTTCGCATGCATTTGAACCTAAATAGACTTTCAATTTGTTTTACACACTTTCTCGCACCGGCAAAAGATTTAATCGCACGAATTGAATTTCCGACACGAACATCCAATGCATATTTAAAAAAAAACACTCCGTATACTCACCCTCTGCCAGATTATGTAATGGCTCATGAAGCAGCCGATCTCACCATGCGTCATTGGCCTGCGAACAGCATGAAGCAAAAACTTTGCCAATAAATTATGCGTTTCATGACTTTCCGCACTTGTTACCTCTTATGATAAGGATCCGCGTACTCCGGCAGAAACGTTATAGACTCAAGCAGCGCCTCGCTGAGATTCCTGTAATTTCAAACACACAAACTTGTAAATTCACGCCATTTTAAACCGGCTTTCTTTCTCCTTCCAGATGCACAATCCAGCAGGATGATGAACGACTGGGCGAACTCCACCAACAGTTACTACTACTACTATAATTTCAGCGATGATTATCTCAAAAATTTCACCGGCACGAACGGAACCTTCCTTCCGGAAGCGGACGCGAATACATTCAGTGCGTTGGTCAGATACGCCCTGCCAATCCTGTTGATATTATGCCTCGTCTCGATAATGATCAACGTGCGAGTACTGATCGCAGTGCGATGGATCCGTCGGCCGTTGTCACCGACACTTCACATCAGTCTGAGTCTCGCCGCCGCCGACGCCTGCACATCGACATTAATCGGTGTCGGTTTGGTCATCAACAGCTACCTGCCACACCTGCACAACATCGAATTGTGTCACATACAAGTATGGCTGGAGATGTATCGCCTCAGTGGTATTATCATCACAGTTTTCCATCTCCTGGCTCTCAGCATCAATCACTGGCTGGGGATACTAAAACCATTGCATTATACAACTATAGTGACATCGAAAAAGATAACTATCGTCACGGTGATGTTGTGGGTGGTTCCAATCGCGTTCTTCATGACGTACTTCCTTACCGAGAGGAACTTCTGGCAGACATGTCCAATTACTGACAATTCCTTCGACAAGGTCAAATTTCGAATTGTATTCATATCGTTCTTCGTGGTGCCGCTCATCATGATGATATATTTCTACTCGCACATTTTGTATATTGTGCGCAGGCAGCAGAGAACATGGGCGACACTGTCGCGATCTGGAAGTCAGCGTAGTCGAGGGATGACCAGAGCCAGCACCCAGCAGCGACGCACAATGGAGGGCAACGTGAAAGCTGTTTATACAACATTGTTGATTCTCGGCTCGTTCCTCGTCGGCTGGCTTCCAGCCGTGACGATTTTCGTGTTGATTTGTGCGGATGGTTGCGTGTTTGCAACGGATAAATTCGCGCAGGAAGTCGGACTCCTGATGCAATTCGTCATTGGATGGCTGAGCAACATATTGATTATTTTAAAAACTGTTGCTAATCCGATTATTTACTCCGCCAGAATGATTGAAATTAAAGTAATTATTATTTGATAGTAAAAATTAATTTTCTAAAGCGTAGATAATGACTAATATTTGATGTCTTTTCTTAGGACGGAATGCGTCGGATGGAATTAGCCCTATCTCGGATGTTTTGCAATTCGAATCGTCGAGATCGTTACACAACGAACCTCCATCAGCCGCTCAACTTCGGTTGTAGTGCGGGGAGCGGTAATGCAAACATGACGGCGTTGTGCCGCCTCAACGGCAGCGTCACGACGCGCCGCAGCGGGCGCTCAAATTACCCAAACACTTTGGTGTAATTAACAACAATATCCTCTTAACGCCGGACGGGGACGAAAAAAAATACCTTGGAAAATGGTCCAGCTAATACACCTAGATTCAGCTGGTATAGTTTCCGCAACAAAAGCGGGGCATTATTTGTTCTTAGAAACCATTCCTACGCGAATAAACAAAAACAACCTATAGTATTGTGATTTGTGGCGTAGCGTATCATATACGGAACCTTACGATCCAAAAGTTCCATTTCTTGCGTCGCAAAAGACAAATTTTTAAATAAATTTGAAACCTCTTTGATCCAAATATTTGAAAATTAAACCTGTTTCCTCATGAAAGGTGAGAGAAGAGGGTCCAGAAGTCTTTATGGTAGCTACGCCACTGATCAGGAGTATCACGTCAACATGCTGTATTGTTTACATACATCATATTATAAGTAAATTATTTGTATATTTTTCAAATGGCGATCAAATAAATAAATATTTATTTTATAACACCGTCTTTACAACGTAGAAGAAAAGAGTAAAGGACAATGCAAATTAATTAAATTGGCCGTCCATAACAATTAATGTTAAAACATTATCAATGTCGTAGATATTCACAATTTATAAAATATGCAACAAAAAAGAACGTACGTTGAAAAATAAAACATGTGGCGCCATTTTACCCTAGAGACGAAAAGGAAATACCAACCGGAAACTAAAAGCGGAGTCGATATGCAGTATAAATGATAAAAATACCAAATGGAACAAGTAGATTTTAAAGAGAAAAAGAGCAAAGGAAGAAAATCGAATTCCAGCAACATATACCCGCGAGGGAAAACGACTGCTGCTCGCGGCTTGAATAATTTCCACTGACAATACACCGCTGCATAATATATTATGCTATTTGCCGAAAGCGATGACGAAATCTATCTTTATCAATGAACCTCAACGCCTTCCAAATCACCTGTCACGACCGTCACCATCTTGAATCACTAGCATAATTCACTGCTCCAAAATTAAAAAAAGGATAAAAGTAAAATTGTACTCACCTTCCATCAACAGCATCAACAATCTGCACATCCAACCCTAGTTCATCAAAACAATGCAACATCCTTTCCCGTCTTTCCGTCCTCCTAGCCAAGTTAATCATATAGATTTCATCAAAACCCAGCTTTGACTTCGCAGGCAGCCTGACAAAGTCACCAAAGACATCGAGGTTCACCGGCAACGGGTCGTTCTCAACCAGGACCTCAAGTTTCAGATTTGTGAGCTGCATTAGATCGTGTTGCAGAGTATCATCGGCCTCTAACGGCACCATTATGAATCCGTACACTTGATCGTTACAAACATGTAAAGGGATGTTGTGCGTCCGGGCGGATATCGCAAATGTGATGATGTCATCACTAGGCCCTGTATAATTTTCCACTTTTTCCGGCATATAGGTCAAATGGTCAGAGGCCAGACTGTTTAGATGTATCAGCACGGCGGAATGGATCATCGGCACGTCGAAGCATCCGATTCGTTCACGATTCAATACTGGTTTGTAGTCCTCCGTGCGCTCGTAATAAAAGTCCTCGGTCATGCCGTGCCAGAAGTTTGAATATAAACCGTCTGATTTCAAAAGTGGGGCAACCACAGGGAGGTTTTTGGACAGCAGGGAGTCGAGCGTGTTGGGATTAGTTAGGAAAGCATCTGCGTCTAACATCTGGAACAATGTAATTAAAACTGTGATGTTTAATGAGGAAATTCGTGGTCCAAGTAATATCTAAGTGTCTGAAGCAGATACAAGCAAGTGTAGTCCGAGTTATTAATTAATTATTAGAAAATTACAATTTTCGTTTAGTAATCTGAGTTTATCTTGATAAATAATAAAGTTTTGATTGTATTATTATCAATAATCTTCTAAACATTCAATTTAATCATTATTATCCGTATATAAATATTGCGCAGGTGTAACAAAAAGTTTTGTACATCTCCTTGAATGATTAATGAGACTTTTTGTCGTCCTTGTATACGCTTAGTTTATGTAATTAATTGGATGAGGAAGTTGGACGTTACGATTAGAAAAGTTTAAACGCTGTTTGAACATAGGCAACCCAATATACAACTCACGTATAACAGCAATTGTAAGTACATAATTGAAATGTTTACATACCAATAAATAATCAGCCCAGATTTGTCGTCCGTAGTTTAAAATCTCCTCTCTTAACTGAATAATGTGATTAAATCTTTCATCAGTCCAATAACCAATCCCTTTCTGATCTTGGTTCACTGATTTTTTTCCGTTCTTCTCGAAACTAACTTTTACATTATGATATTTATTTTTAACACTACTCAGCCACTTCTTTAAAATTTCTATTGAATTATCTACATTATCATCACTTTTTATCCTGTAAAATAAATCCGCAAATTATATTTTTGTCTCTGTTGAATATTTTAAATACATTTAACTCAGAAATGAATATAAACGCAAGTTTAAGTAAATACTATGAATTAAAGTATGTATGTCATTACATACCATAAAGATATCCGCTGTTTCGGATAATCCAGACGCTCTAGAAGCGTTAGGAAATACGGCAGCGTGTGCGCTTTATTCCGAACTAAAATCCCAATTAAAACCGCCGGTCTTTTCACTTCACTTGCACTCCCGTTTCCATTACGCAGTAAACACAGAATTAAAACGTGTACCAGCGCATAAGTTAAAATTCCGAGCTTCATTTTAGGCAATTAGCACGCGTTTCAGTTAAAATTAGTTAAAACCAACTCAAAATAGGCATGAATAATGAGGTTATACTGAGCGATAGAGATAAATAGGGACGATATGTACCCCGGTTTCGATAATGAATATAACAGATCATTTGTTTACGTTCGGGCTGAAACGACCGTGAGGCTGGGTACGCCGAACTTGCAAACGAAACTGAAATGAAATGAGATGCATCTGTAGACCAGCGAGCAAACAGCGCAAAGCAATGCAGTCAGCTGATTGCCGCTGGAGACATGTGTATGTGAACCAGACTGTTGCGCTTTAAATGCGACTGCACCCAAGTATAGAACAATTCAATGAATTAACGCCGGAAGTTTTAAGTTTCATGGGAAACTACTGACACTACACAAGCATAGCACAAATAAGATGAATGTTTTCACTTGTACAAATACTATATGTTTATATTTATAAAATATAAATTTCTTAGCTGACTCAGTAACAAAATATATAGTGTATAAAAATATCACTCAGTCTGGTAAATGCCCTGATCATTAGTAACATCAATCTTTGGACCAATTTCCAACTTCTTTTTGTCTTTTTTACTCACAAAACTCAAGCTAGACTTATCAAAATCTAATGGCATCACACCCAGATCGCCGCTGTAACGATTCTTACAAACCTGTAAATACTTCTTGCCTTTTATAGAAGCCAGTCGCTTATCTTGAATAATTAAAATGTTGTCGGCTTCTTGCGAGGCTTTGGCACCGCCGAAAATTGAACTCATCGTCAGATCTTCCGCATCCCGCTCTTTCCTAGGATGAATAACTAAAGTAACATGACAATTTCTTCGCGTAGCAAACGTTCGAAAGTTGGCTACGATTAAGTCCTGCTTCCAGAACCTGTCCATGTTTCTCGTCTCTTCACTCATACCCATCATAAACTGCAGGTTGTCAATGATGACATGCGAAATATCATGCACATAAACAGCATGCTCGATGGCTTCCATTACAACTTTGATCGATTGCTGGCCGTGAAAAGTCATATAGTAAATAGGAAGGACTTCAAATTTATCAGCCCAGTGATCGTACTGATCTAAATGTTCGTCGAGAGGAATACCCGCCATTTGTTGCAACATTGTGCGTGCTAAACGCGCGTTGCGAATTTCAAAACTGCCCCAAAGTGTATTCACACCTTGCATTGCTAAATCCAGAGAATATTCGCTTATGAAAGTTGTTTTACCGCTTCCGGTAGGGCCAGTGAATACTGTGAGTTCGCCGCGGCGGTGACCTTTGACTATTCGATTTAATGTGGGAAAACGTGACCATTTTATGCCCTGCACACGGTCGATGTTTTGCAGATCTGAGAGGACGTCTTCACGCAGACTCGCAAACGTTGTGATTGATTTGTGCCACATTGGTTGCGCGGATGAGATGAGATTCTTGAAGTCCTGCAATGTTTCCGGAACAACTTCCATATTCCTATGACAAATAATAATGTTTTAACAAATTAATTCAACTTTATTAGTAATATTTCACCTTATAAAGGAACATCTTCGTTCTCCAAGCTTCTTAGAAAAATTCCTTGCAGTTTCCCACGCTGAGAGATCATTTCCAAACCATAGAATCAACCTGGCAAATCGATCAAACGCGGGTAAAACGTGCAAAGAGAGATTTGCAAGTCCATTTGGTAAACAGATAACATGATATGCTGAATTAGCATTAACAAAATTGAGAAAATCGCCAACGGTTGCAACTACAATAGCTGTTGATGAAGATTTGCTGCCTCTATGATACAAAATACCACTTGATGCTGTGTGTCTTAAAGACGGTTCGATTGAACTTTTAGCATTCACTCTAATAACTTTATGGCCCACAATGTCATATGCAGAATTATGAAGTGGAAAATACATACTGGTGTGGGTGATGTCCACTGTTACACCCAGTGTTATCATTAAACTCTTTGGAATTATGTCCTAGAACAATCAAATTAATAAATAAATCACAAAATAACTATAAAATCTTTACTGGCAGCTCAAATTTCTTCAATATTTGCTTGGAAAGAGCATCATCAATGTTTTTAAAACTTATTGTATTGTTTTTCAAGTTTCTTAAGTACTGTGTAAGTTTGTTCAGCTCTTTCACAACCAGTGGATCTTTGAATTTGACATTTTTGGTGTTGCTAGATGTGATGTAGGATTCAATATCAAACCAGGTTCCTGTATGATGACATGTTTCACATGTGAATGATCCTGAAGCAAAGGTAAACATTAATAAGCTATTTTAAATAAAACAAAAATTATTAATACCTGTTCTTTTATTAACAAATATTTTTGTTTTATCTATTAGACTCTCTTTTTGCTTCTCACACATAGGACAACTAATTATAAAATTAGTGTAAACCTCCTCAAACTTCATATCATACTTCTTAAACTTTGATCGAATGGTGGAGACTGATACTTCTGGAATATCTTCAAGTCGAACATCCTTGAAACTTCGAAATTGAATATGTTGTACTTGATGATTGGGTTGAGTGTTGTTGGTGGTGTTGGTGTTTGTTTTGGTTGTTTTATATAATTTGTAGAATGATTTGCAGAATTTGTTAACGATATTGAACGAATTAATAGAAAACATTGTTTTGAAAACTTATATTCATTATGAAGACATTGAATCATGTTATTGTCATTTATCCTTTTAACTTAAAAGTTGTTAAAAGTCTTTGAGAATCACGTAAATCACATGTATAAATTCAAACATAACCTTACAGAAGTTGACCGTTTTTCGCCTTAAAACTCGAATCGTTAACATACAATGCGTTCATGGATGAAATTTGGATAAATAATTGAGTAGTTGTATGTTTTCAGAAACAAAATGTGGATTAACTTAAACAATTACACTTAAAAGAATTAGATTTCATTGATTTTGCAACGATAAACTCAAATTTAATAAAATTAACCATTTCTCATTATGTTAAACGATAGATACTATGATGTACACTAATCAATTAATCAATTTGATTGACAAGAAATAATGTTTTCATGATCATGCAACCACTTATTAAATTTGAGTGTTTAATTAATGTAAATTTATGTTCTAGAACTTTTTCCTTACAGAAACCTAAATAAGTAGGTAGTAAACGTGTATTTCTTGTTTCTTCATATAATGGCGGCCATTTTAATGGATAATCTGAATATGGAAGTTGCAAACTCGGTACAACTCATGTTAAATATTATCATAAATACACATTTTCAAAACGCTAGATGTGTTATTCAGTTTGAAACACCTGCTAATGATTATTTCAAAATTCATTTAAATTCGACACTTCCGCAATTAGTAAATCCGAAAATCTGTGTTCCTGGTTGCATTCATTATATTCTATATGATTTATCACTAACCAACCACAATTATATTTATAAATGCCTTTTTGACAATAATGATAATGCATTTAAAGGCATTATTTTGTTAAAAATGATACAATCAACAATTATAAACAACCAGAGTTTCGTTTTCAAGATGATAACTTTCGTATTTATGCTGCGAATGCAATTTTTATCGAAAGAGTATACAATGAGTTTATCATTTATGCTTTTGATCATTGGGAATTAAGGGAGATAATTATGTTAAACCGATGGAGAATTTCAGATAAAATGTTTCAAAATGCAAATATTGGTGATTTCTTTTCGGATTCACGAAGAAAACAAACTGGAGGACGTTTAGAAGTTGGTGTTTATTCAAATACTTTTCCAATGACTTTCGGATGTAACATTTTTAACGATATTTTTATATTTATTGTTATTTTGCGTATATTTTAGTAAACGCAGTTGGATCCGAAGTGAAAATGATGATATTCTTTGCACATTCAATGAATATGGACATTTCAGTGTCCACTGGATGGGCCCCAAATAGACCAATGTTTTTATTAGGAATACTAGGCCTTCACCCTGGCCTAACCACAACTTATGACGTAACTAACCTAGATTTAGGTTTTCTTGCTCCAAAACCAAAGTAACATAACCTCATTTATAATCATAATCCTAACCTCATTTTATCTTACTTCCAGAGAATATATTGATTGGTTGAATCTATTGCAAGTATTCGAGTTAAAACTATGGATGTTAATCATTTCTTGTTACTTGACAATCGCCATTTTCTTTTGGTTTGAAAAAAGTCTCAAAACCAATGTGAATCGACCAGGACTCATGAAAATTATTGCTTTGTTTTTTACACAAGGATTAAAATCACATGATTTTCCATGTAATATTCGTGCTAATTGTTTAATTGCGATAATGTTCGTCATGTCAGTGCTGTATTCATCGCTTCTCTCTTCCGAGATTGTCGAAAAATTGATGACAGCCAGTTATGAAGCTGACATAAGGACGATTGAAGATCTGGCCAATTCAAAACTTCTGGTTGAATGGGCTAATCATCCGTATTGGCAGAGAGATTTTGAATCATTAACTGTAAATTATTTGAGGTTAGAAATGAATTAGTAATATTACAGCTATTAAAAATGTTTCCAGGATGCTGAAATTAAAGCTTTCTCACGTTGGACTGATGAAAACATAAATATTCCCTACACAAAGAAAGTAACAGCACATTATATGACAATTACCAAGTGTAGGTAATTTATCATAATGTAAAATAATATTTAATAGTTAATTATTTGCAGTATCGACATTATTGAACCAGAAAACCGGCGATTTTCTGTCTTTGGTGAAGCCTATGGATTATTTTTTCTTGAAATCATATTCGACGATTTCTATAACAAGTGAAGCATATTTATTGCACATGCCGCTATTAAATCAGTTTATTCTTTGGTGGAAAAGTGGCGGTTTGCTTACAAAATGGGAGTGGGATACTTACGCGACCGAAAACAAAATGGCGGATATACTAAAGTATCTGGATAATAAAATTCCACCGAAGGGACCAACCATATTGCTTTTGGAACACGTCCGGGGTGTTTTTCTGGTATGGATTATAGGAATTACAATTGCAATATTATCATTCATCATAGAACTCTTATTATATAGATGTATTGTTTACACCACTTTGATTTAACTGTTACCATTATTCGTTATTATAACATTTATCAATTCTTGCAATTGTTCGTATTTCCAGCGCATATTTCGCGATTAATAAATTAATGTAAAATTGCACAATCTTTCATTATTTTAATAATCCATATTCCGGGACTCCTACCTGTATCATTCAGAGATGGCACTAGCATGAACTAAAAATCATATAACAGAATTGTATTGTTTATTTCTATATTTATCGGCAAACGCGGATATTCGGCATGAGAATTGTGTTTGTTTTTAACACTATTTACTTTCTTATCACTTCCGCCGTGTGGAATGCAACGCATGAAATTCCCGAGTGTCGTCGTTGAAATCTCCTCGCGACGCATGCAGTAGATTCTAGTTTAGTCGGGATTGCGCAATTTGCAACAAGGTCGCATGCCATCGACGCGCTGGTCTTGCGCATCTCTTGCTTTCTTATCGTAAACTGTCGCGTCGTTGTTTGCTCTGCTACGACATGCGCTATCGATGGGTTTGCAGTCAGTTCCGCGCCGGTCGCTGGTTGGTCCAGGCGTGTTTTGACCGACTCGTATTGTTTGTTCGGACTTCGTGGTTCGGACTTTTGCTTTCTAAATTTGCATTATACTCGTTCATCAATCGAGTATTTAATTGTAACTACTATAGTAATGTAATTTATTATTTGCGCGTTTAATGTACATTATTATAAAAAAGTGGTAGATGTTTGATCGCGTTTCGTGTGCATACTAGGGCTGTACAATTTAGCCGGCTAAGCCGGTTAAAAAAGTTAACCTGGCTAATTAGCTGGCTGACTACTCGGCTTAGCCGGTTAACCGAAATTAGCCAGGCTAATCAGCTAAAGGCTAAACCGGCCAATTGGCTAATTTTATATTTTATACAATATCTTTGCTTCCAAGTATTGATAGGAAAATTCGACTAAAAGAAATTTAATACAAAGTAATTAATGAGTACTTATGCAAGTGACGAGGTTCAGTGTCGGTCGCTAAATGAATTGGATATAGGACGGGCCCCATGTAGATTTATTGATCATTATCCCTGCGTAAGTAACTTTTAATTTAACAATACATGTTGTATTTCTTCTATGATGTATGAATATTTTATTCTTAAATCTTATGAAATATTTCAACTTTTTTTCTTTTAATTACAGCACTTGCTGTGCCCTGGTGAATGATGTGCATAACAATTCGTAAGTTTACAATTCAATCATATTTTTAATTCTAATTTCGCGACAAATTATTATTTCTGCACCTTTTCTTGTCTGTATACAGATCACTGGTTGTGTAGGTTATTTTTGGTTTTAACATGAATTGTCATGTATTTATTATTTATTTATTATTATAAACAAAATTTATGTGCATTTAATTCGTATTGGGTAAATGGTTCCAATAGGCGTATATGCCAATATTTATGGTATATTTTTGATTTTGTATTATAATACATTTAGTACCGTCGCAAGCGGCCATATCGTTACAATATGCAATGTGACAATACCTATGGCGATTTTGCATGCAAAATTTCCCTAAACTAGTTTTCTAGTCGCATTCCTTAAGTTGGCCATCCTGCATGCGACCTTGTTTGTTGCACATAGTGCGCGTTTTATTGCGTTGTGCGCGCAGGATTATCGCGTGTGTTGGGCGCCGTTGCAGATTGTGCTGCGAGGTGTTCTCAGCGCAGTTTTGTGCCGGTCGTTGGTTGGGTAGGGCGTGTTTTTCGGGGCTGTTATCATTTTATTTGGAGTTTGTAAATCAGTAAATCGCGTTCATTTCGATAGTCCATCGACTGAATTTAGTTAGTAGTGACGCGTCTAGTGTTTATTATTAGATAATCAGGTGTCGAATATACAAAATCGGTAATTTTCTTTGCATTCATTGTGCGTGTTGCAAGATGCGTGCTATCAACTTGTTTACACTGCACGTTCGCGAGATACAGGTTGCATGCAACGTTTTTGCAACTTTTGTTGTGATATTATTTGGGCAATGGATTGGAACATGGACAATCTTCTTCGGGATAACCATGAAAGAACGGTACAGTGCAAACTTTTTAAAATTTTAATACACATTTGTACACGCATTGTTCTACAAGTTTTACGCATATGACGTGCATTTAAGTCTTTGCTTAGGCCGGATTGGAACGACCGATCTTGTTATTGTTGTGAACATGCTTATCTAACCGTGTCTAGTATTACTGTATTTAAATGTGACTTTACTTTGGTTCGTGGTGAATTTTGCGCCAAATTCTTGGCCATGATCATTTCGTATTTTAATACATTTGCATATATTTTAGTACCGTCGCAAGCGGCCATATAGTTTCAATATGCAATGTGACAATACCTATGGCGTATTTTCGTCGATTGCTTATCAGTATTTGTGTCTAAATAAGATTTCGAGTCGCATTTATATCATATTTTACACTTCGCGGGGAAGTTTTATTGCTTGTTTTGTCTCTGCCTTATTAAATTCTCCGTCGACTTATATTTGTTTGTTACGGAAATTCGACCTGCAACTGGCGAAAATTAGCATAAAAGAGGGATTTTTTCACCTTTTTTCGTGAAATGTTAGGGTTTTTTCGGGTTTGCACATAATCTTGTCGGCTCAATAACTTCAGTGCGGTGTCAAAAAATGCGGAATTTAATTCTTCGTCGGGTTGTATTTGTTCGTTACACGATTTCGGCCTGCAACCCGCGATAACTTGCATAAGTGGGTGATTTTTTCACCCTTCTTCATGAAATGTTTGTGTTTTTGGGGTTTGCACGTGATCTTGTTGGCTTAATAACTTCAAAATGGCGGCCAAAGTTTGCCCATTTCTTGCATTTTTCAAAACACGTGACGGAAAACAGACCATATCTCGGTGACTCTTGATCATATTTTAGTTTTTTTTTAAATTTAATAATAGGACAAGTGTGCGTTTTTATGATGCACCCCTGAACTCCCGCGAAATTCGGTGGTAACTGCCAGAAAATGGCCGCTAAAGTTTGCCCTTTTCTTGCATTTTTCAAAACACGCGATGGAAAACAGGCCATATTTCGAGAACCCTTTGTCATATTTTAGTTTTTTTTATTTAATAATAGGACAGAGTGCGTTTTTAAGATGCACCCCTGTACCCTCGCGAAATTCGGTCGTAACTGCCTCCAAATGGCCGCTAAAATTTGCAATTTTCTTGCATATTTCAAAATACGCGATGGAAAACAGGCCATATCTCGGGAACCCATTGTCAAATTTTAGTTTGTTCTTTATTTAACAATAGGACAAGTGTGCATTTTTAAGATGCACCCCTGTATTCCTGCGAAATTTTGTCGTTACTACCTCAAAATGGCCGCCAAAGTTTGCCCTTTTATTGCATTTTTCAAAACACGCGGTGGAAAACAGGCCATATCTCTGGAACCCTTTGTCATATTTTGGTTTTGACGTGATAACGTCTTTAAAATCGTTTTACGGGTGACCGGTTCAGAAACATTGTGTCACGAGCGAGGTCGATCGCGACCCCCCTCTCGTTATAACCAGAGAGAGACGGACCGATCTCCCGTCTCATCTCGAGCGCTGCCAGTCATTCCGACCCCCTCTCGTTATAACCAGAGAGACGGACCGATCTCCCGTCTCATCTCGAGCGCTGCCAGTCATTCCGTGCCAGTCATAGCGTTCGAGTGAGTTGACCGATCTTCCGTCTCTCTCACTCTAGCGGCATACAAACGAATGGAGATTTTCTCGTGCGGTTAAGTTTTCGTTGAATGTTTTATCGGCCGATAAAAAGTTTGTAGTGTGCGGGGAGCCTAACAGTAAAACAAAATGTGAAGTGCAAGTGAAGTGTTACAACAATTGCAACAAACAAAACTTATATCACCAATAAGACGTTATCACGTAAACATCTCGATCGTAAACCTACTTTACAAACAACTTAAATTTTTTTTTATTTAATAATAGGACAGGAGTGCGTTTTTAAGATGCACCCTTGAAGCCCCGCGAAATTCGATCGTAACTGCTTTAAAATGGACGTCAAAGTTTGCCCTTTTCTTGCATTTTTCGAAACACGCGATGGAAAACAGGCCATATCTCGGTGACCCTTGGTCATATTTTAGTTTTTTCTTTATTTAATAAGAGGACTAGAATGCATTTTTAAGATGCATCCCTGAACTCCCGCGAAATTCTGTCATAACTGCTTCAAAATGGCCGCCAAAATTTGCCCTTTTCTTGCATTTTTCAAAACACGCGATGGAAAACAGGCCATATCTCGGTGACCCTTTGTCATATTTTAGTTTTTTCTTTATTTAATGATAGGACAAGTGGGCATTTTTAATATGAACCCCTGAACCCCCGCGAAATTCGGTCGTATCTGCCACAAAATGGCCGCCAAAGTTTGCCCTTTTATTGCATTTTTTAAAACACGCGATGGAAAGCAGGCCATATCTCGGTTACCCTTTGTCATATTTTAGTTTTTTTTTATTTAATAATAGGACAAGAATGTGTTTTTAAAATGCACCCCTGAACCCTCGCAAAATTTGGTCATAACTGCCTCAAAATGGCCGCCAAAGTTTGCCCTTTTCTTGCATTTTTCAAAACACGCGGTGGAAAACAGGCCATATCTTGGGAACCCTTTGTCATATTTTAGTTTTTTCTTTATTTAATGATATGACAAGGGTGAATTTTAAGATGCACCCTGAACCCCAGCGAAATTCGGTCATAACTGCCTCAAAATGGCCGCCAAAGTTTGCCCTTTTCTTGCATTTTTCAAAACACGCGGTGGAAAACAGGACATATCTCGGGAACCCTTCGTTGTATATAGGATCCATGTGATTTTTGCCGAATGATTTGAAATTTTGCACACAGAATTTCACTATTGCTTATCTGTGTAACAAGTTTTTAGTCGCATTCCCCGCGTTTGCCTATCCTGCATACCCACCTTGTTTGTTGCAAATATTGCGCATTGCATTGCGGCGTGCGTGCAGTACTATCGCGTGTTGACGTGTGCTGCAGGTTTTGTGTCGGTCGTTGGTTAGGTCGGACAAACATATGGCAAATGACCATGTCGGATTACAAGGTGTGCCGGATTAAGCCGTGAACGGATTATCGGGATTCCACTGTATTGTTATTGTTCTGAACATGTCGTGAACTAATCGTGTATAATATTACTGTATTTAAATGTGATTTAATTTTAGGTCTTGGTGAATTCTGCGCCAAATATTTGCCCGAGGATCAACTCTTGGCTACCTGAAGTGGCGTCCGTCTTGTCCGTGTTCTAGCGACTTTCGTGCACCGCGGGAAAGAAAGGTAAAGTGTACTTTTTCATTGTGTTTGTTTACTGCAATTCCATTTAATTCATACGCTGTCATTAATTAAAAATATATTTATTTATTAAAAATTATACGAAATTTTGTGGATTTACATTTATATTTTTGAGTTTTACATGTTTCGCTCTGAGGGCATCTTCAGTAACAGTTTCAGATACTGATCAGCAAAAATAACCACCAATCGAAACTCAATAAATTCAACGTGGCGTCTAGGGATGCGGAATTAATTTCTCCTTCGGGTGGTATTTGCTTGTTGCAGGAATTCGACCTGCAACCCGCGAAAATTTGCATAAAAGCGCGATTTCTTCACCCTTTTCTCGTGATATGTTGGTATTTTTTCGTGTTTGCACGCGACCTTAGCGGGTCAATAAATTAAACTTGACGTCTAGAGATGCGGAATTAAATTCTCCGTCGGGTGGTATTTGTTTGTTGCAGTAATTCGACCTGTTCGAAGGACTAATTTTTGCTTGTTTTAGGGATTTTGCACCTGAGTCTGACATCGTAGAAGGACCATTCTGGTATCAGATTATAAGTAATTAATTCCTTTATCATTTTCCTAAATAAATATTGTGATTATCGTACAAATTGATTCCCAAAATTGCATTTTTATGTTCGAAGGACTAATTTTTGATGGTTTTGGGGATTTTGCACCTGAGTCTGACATCGTAGAAGGACCATTCTGGTATCAGAATATAAGTAATTAATTCCTTTATCATTTTCCTAAATAACTTTTGTGATTATCGTATAAATTGCTACCCAAAATTGCATTTTTATGTTCGAAGGACTAATTTTTGATGGTTTTTGGGATTTTGCACCTGATTCTGACATCGTAGAAGGACCATTCTTGTATCAGATTGTAAGTATTAAATTTCTTTATCAATTTCCTTAATAACTTTTGTGATTATCTCACATATTGACCCCCAAAATTGCATTTTTATGTTCGAAGGACTTACTTTTGATGGTTTTAGGGATTTTGCACCTGAGTCTGACATCATAGAAGGACCATTCTTGTATCAGATTATAAGTATTAAATTTCTTTATCATTTTCCTAAATAACTTTTGTGATTATCTCACAAATAAACCCTTTAAATTGCATTTTTATGTTCGAAAGACTAATTTTTGCTTGTTTTAGGGATTTTGCACCTGAGTCTGACATCGTAGAAGCACCTTTCTTGCATCAGATTGTAAGTATTTAATTTCTTTATCATTTTCCTAAATAACTTTTGTGATTATCTCACAAATTAACCCTTAAAATTGCATTTTTATGTTCGAAAGACTAATTTTTGCTTGTTTTAGAGATTTTGCACCTGAGTCTGACATCGTAGAAGCACCATTCTTGCATCAGATTGTAAGTAATTAATTTCTTTATCATTTTCCTAAATAACTTTTGTGATTATCTCACAAATTGGACCCCAAAATTGAATTTTTATGTTCGAAGGACTAATTTTTGCTTGTTTTAGGGATTTTGCACCTGAGTCTGACATCGTAGAAGAACCATTCTTGCATCAGATTGTTATTATTAAATTTCATTATCTTTAATAACTTTTGTGATTATTACACAAATTGACTCCCATAATTTATGCTTGTGTGTTTTCTTTAATAAAGAATATTTTAAAGTTTTTCTAATTATAATTATTTCTGTTATTTCTACCTGATCACATATTCATATTTAACGATCCCTCAAACTATTTATTTTGAAAAGTGCATGCTAGTGCCATCTATCAATTAGAAACTACAACAACCGAAAGTTTTGAGCTTCGGTCCGTCGCCACCAGAGGCAGCACATTACTAGTTACCGCGAAAACTTTATCAGCCTCCTCAACTTTCTGCTCTCCTAATATTCAATCTTTATTTTGTCGACTCTGGGAGGCAAAATGACACAAAATTTGGACTCGAAACAGTCGAAACTCAGGTTTTGGTATTCGGATCGCAGAAAGTGTAAGGAGGCTGATATAGTTTTCGCGGTAACTAATGACGGGTAAAAATAATGTTTAAAAATCTGTTTTCAGCAAGTGCAGCTTCTGTATAGGTGGAATTTTTAAATTCTGTTTTCGGATTCTGTAAGCTAAAATTCTATATCGACTATTTATGTAATTATTTTCTTAACATTGACTGTTTAGGCTGTATTGGCAGTTTTAATTAAAAAATTGTATTTTACATGCCAATCGGTCCTTAATCTATAAGTGTGTTACTAGTTTCCGATTCTGAATTTAATCTACTTTCAGAATCCGAAAGCAGAATTTAAAAATTTTAATTATTACAGAACCTGCATTTGCTGAAAAAAGATTTCGTCATAAAAAAGGCAAAATATTTTTCTTTTTTATGTCGAATGTTGTTTTCATTAAAATTGCAAATAGGGCCTAAACGGTTAGCATAAACTAAAAAAGTTACTAAAATAATCGATGTAGAATTAAATTATCAATCATAATCCGAAAACAGAATTTAAAAATTCCAACTTTTAATTTTCAACATAAAAAAGAGAAATCTTTTGCCTTTTTTATAACAAAATCATTTCTTTAAAAAATTTTTGTGCCATTTTTGTGGTTTTTCAATAATGATGCCATCTTATCCAGAATTCTTCAAGGATCAAGAATATGTAATTATTTTTATTCTAGCCCTTTTAGTTGTCGAGATAATTAACATTTAATCATCATAAATTAGGCTATCTCGACAACCAAAAGGGCTAGAATAAAAAGAACTACATATTCTTGATCCTTGAGGAATTCTAGACAAGATGGCATATTTTTCTCAAAATGAAGAAATGGGCACAAAAAATTTTTAAAGAAAAGATTTTGTTATAAAAAAGGCAAAAGATTTCTCTTTTTTATGTAGAAAATTAAAAGTTGGAATTTTGAAATTCTGTTTGAGGCTGCTGATACATAATTTAATTCTACATCGATTATTTTTGTAAAGTTTTTTGCTATCATTAACCGTTTAGGCCCTATTTGCAATTATAATAAAACACGTGTATCCCGTCGGAATAGTCTAATTTATGAAGATTAAATGGTAATTATCTCGACAACTAGAAGGGCTAGAAAAAAAAGAACTACATATTCTTGATCCTTGAAGAATTCTGGACAAGATGGCATCCTTATTGAAAAACAACAAAAATGGCACAAAAATTTTGTCGAGAATTCAGTGAAATTATACACAAAATTCTTTTGAATATTAGGATCGCAGAAAGTGCAGTAGGCTGAATCTCCAGCAATCTTGAATAGCGGCGTAGTTTAGTTACTCGTGGATAGATGACACTAGTGATACCGTTTTTGAATTAATATTGATACAATATAAAATTAATTTTGAACTATTTTCCATATTTAACAGTGGCATTTCCAATAAAGTTTAAGGGATTTATGGATTAAATAAAGGAGTAACGATGTTGCGCGCTAAGTTCTCCGTTTGGAACAAATAAAACGATAAAAATTTATAGTCAAAAATATAAAACTACCTTTTTATTCAAACATGTAGAATATACACAATCACAAACTCAGTTTCTTAATGTATACAGCATTTTCAACAATACAAGCAAGAAAACGAGATAATAATATGCAATTATATAATTCTTTTTTTATAACTTTTAACAAAATAAACAAAAATGATAACAATAACAGCTTCAAGATGTTGTAAATTCAGTCAATCGTGTTTGGAATCATCATCAACACCGGCAATCCAATCTTCAATTTCTTGTACACTATAAACCAGGATGAATAACAGAATAGTAAAATATAAAATATTATAAATTGCCAAAATATAACATACGTTCTTGGAACTTAAGTCCAGTTGACACATCCATCTTCAGTAATTAAAACATAATCCTCAATACGGACTCCTCCACCAGTACCACGGAACCTCTCCAGTTGGTCCCTATTGATTAACTTGACCATCTCAGGATTAGCCAATGAATCATCCAACAACTGGAAAATATTTATGTAAATGAAGTATACATATACATAAATTAAATTAATTATTCTTACAGGATCCATAAAAATTTCCATTTAGGGCACCGTGCGAAGGTAGCGGTAGAAGTGACTCCCATTCAAGGCACCGTACAATTTAGTGCAAGAACGGCAGCCCCACGACATAGCGTTCGCCGGCTAAAACAAAAAAACCACAAAATTAGAAGACCAAAAAAAAAGCATTTTTGTAGGCTTCCCGACGGCTAAGCCCACAATATATATAATTTATATTATAAAGAATTTAAATATCTATTATTTGCTAAAAGAACGGTTGTCCTACGACATGGCGTTCGCCCGCTAAACACTAAAAACCAAAAAATTCGACGACCAAAAAAACACAAATAGGGCATTTTTTGTAGGTTTCCCGAGGGATAAACCCACAAATTATGTATGAGAATTATAAATAATTTAAATATCTATAATTTGGTGAGAATGGTTGTCCTATGACATGGCGTTCGCCCGCTAAACACTAAAAACCACAAAATTAGACAACCGAAAAAGACAAAAAGAGCATTTTTGTAGGTTTCCCCAGGGATAAACCCACATATTATACATGAAAATTAAAAAGAATTTAAGTATCTATAATTTAGTGAGAGAACGGTTGTCCCACGACATGGCGTTCCAGAGCTAAATACTAAAAATCACAAAATTAGCCGACCAAAAAACATAAAAAGGGCATTTTTTTAGGTTTCCCGAGGGATAAACCCACAAATTATATATGAGAACTATTAATAATTTAAATATCTATAATTTAGTGAAAGAACGGTTGTCCTACGACATGGCGTTCGCCCGCTAAATACTAAAAACCACAAAATTTGCCGATCAAAAAACATAAAAAGCGCATTTTTATAAGTTTTCCGTTGGATAAACCCACATATTATACATGGAAATTATAAAGAATTTGAATATCTATAATTTGGCGAAAGAACAGTTATCCTACGATATGGCGTTCGCCCGCTAAACACTAAAAACCACAAAATTAGTCGACCGAAAAACACAAAAGGGGCATTTTTGTAGGTTTCCCAAGAGTTAAACCCACAAATTATATATGAAAATTATAAAGAATTTGAATATCTATAATTTGGTGAAGAAACGGTTATCCTACGACATGGCGTTCGCCCGCTAAATACTGAAAGCCACAAAATTAGCCGACCGAAAGACACAAAAATGGCATTTTCATAGGTTTCTCGAGGGATAAACCCACAAATTATACATGAAAATTATAAAGAAATTGAATATCTATAATTTGGTGAAAAAACGGTGATCCTACGACATGGCGTACATCAGCTAAATACTAAAAACAACAAAATTAGCCAACCGAAAAACACAAAAGGGCATTTCTGAAAGTTTCCCGAGGGATAAACTCACAAATTATACATGAAAATTATAAAGAATTTGAATATCTATAATTTGGTAAAGAAACGGTTATCCTACGACATGGCGTTCGCCCGCTAAACACTGAAAGCCACAAAATTAGCCGACCGAAAGTCACAAAAATGGCATTTTCGTAGGTTTCCCGAGGGATAAACCCACAAATTATACATGAAAATTATAAAGAAATTGAATATCTATAATTTCGTGAAAAAACGGTGATCCTACGACATAGCGTACATCAGCTAAATACTAAAAACCCCAAAATTAACCGACTGAAAAACACAAATAGGGCATTTCTGCAGGTTTCCCGAGGGATAAACTCACAAACTATACATGAAATTTATAAAGAATTTGAATATCTATAATATGGTGAAAGAACGGTTATCCTACGACGTGGCGTTCGCCCGCTAAACACTAAAAACCACAAAATTAGCCGACCGAAAAACACAAAAAGGGCATTTTTGTAGGTTTCCCGATGGTTATTTTCAAAAATTCATATCTCTTAAACTAAAAGAGATAGCTACCAACGAATTGTTGATTATGAAAGACTGGAAAATTCTCTACCAGATAAAAATATAAAATAATTATATTTCCTACAGTAAAAGGTCGAAAAACGCGACTAAAAGTGCTAAAAAGTGACATTTTGCAATTTTTGCCTATTTTATTCAATCGCGAATATCTCGTAAACTAAAAGAGATAAATAAGATCTGATCGCAGCGTCTTAATCTACGGACCAATCTCTATCAGATAGGATAGTTAAAAGGGAAATCTGAGAGATGAAATTTTAAGTCTTAAGAAAAAATTGCCAAGGGGGGGTGCTTGATACTTTTTTTCGACGATTTTCAAAAATTCATATCTCTTAAACTAAAAGAGATAGCTACCAACGAATTGTTGATTATGAAAGATTGGAAAATTCTCTATCAGATAAAAATATAAAATAATTATATTTCCTACAGTAAAAGGTCGAAAAACGCGACTAAAAGTGCTAAAAAGTGACATTTTTCAATTTTTGCCCATTTTATTCAATCGCGAATATCTCGTAAACTAAATGAGATAAATAGGTACAAATAGCAGAAACTATTCTACGGACTATTCTCTATAAGATTAAAATAATTCAATTTAATGGGGTAAAATACGACGCTATACCGACGATTGCACGTGCATATGTTGGCGCATAAAAATACAAGACAGTCAGGTGTACTCACTACTTATGGCGTTGATATTATAATACAATCTTGAGTCCAAACCGCTGGTAGGATGCTTGCAGTCCGTTGAGGCCCCGTACAAACCCTCATGGAATTGGAATTATTTTTAACGCGCACTTTAATAGTGCAATACGGATTACGCGATACTTTCGGATTTTTAATCGCGTCCCGCACTCGATTTGTCGAATATTCGGATACATTTTTTGTAAACACTGCGTACTTTCCCTAACAGGTGAAAGGGGACAAGGCACGACCCTCCTTCGGTAGCTAATTGAACACGATTCAATAAAATGGTTAAATCAAACGCGTCGCGACCCGCACTCGATGAGTATTTCGTTACACCTCTCCAGGTCTCTCGCGAATATCGTTTATCACTTATACCTGTGAATCGAAACAAAGATTAAAAATACTGGGTAAGGATGATTTGGTAGATATTCGGAACTAAAAAATTTTTAAAGAATAAAATAAATAAATGATAAATTAATCAAAATTGGCAAGGATTTTTTTAAATTATGAAAAATAAGAATATTAAAAGGATTGAAAAACAATAAAGTAATAATGATATTAAGAGGTAGTGTGTTAAAACATGAAGGTGTGGAATATTAGTAGACACAAAAAGTACATAAACCGAAAACGAACGCGCCCGAATTACAAAAATGCCCCAATATATCGAATATGTACCTGAAAGACAAGCAGAAAGAACAATTAGTAACAGAAAATTTAAAAATTATTAGAGACATTGGATAAACGATACAGCAATGTTCAAACCTTTTTCCAATCTTGGGAAAGTAAGACTAATCCGGGACGTCAGGTGGGTGACCTTGAAAGGTCATCTAGAAACAGCAGAAAATTTTAAGTGCAAAGAGAAATAACAGTAAGTACAATTATTTTTTTTAATATACATGTCTGCGATTGAAAACAGGAACGTTTTCAAGAAGTGGATTGAGAAACCGATCGTAATGCACCATCAACAACGTCGCACGCAATAAACAGAAAATAAAACAGAATTAAAATATAACAAAATACTAAAGAATAAGTAAATGATAAATGTAACGTTAGAAAATAAAAATAAGAGTGCGTTATCAGCAGTGCCGAATGGTGTTGGAGTGTTAAAATCAAAACAACAACATGGCATCTCTTTGTGTTAGCAGTGCTGCACAATTGGCACTCTACTACCGCAAAGTTACCGTTTGAAACATGTGAAAAGCAAACAAACAGCTGATAACTTCGCCGCGTACACTTCGAGAAGGTGAAACTGCGATCACCCCATACCACATGTCGATTGCACAATAAAATTACATCCGAATATTCCAATTAGACGCATTGCAAGTACATGATTTGATTTATGTGATGACGCAACTTGGTGGTTGCGAACGTGAAAACGACGTTTGAATCGCGGCCATATTGCAAACACGCGTCTAACGCCGTATAAAACAATGCAGCGTGCAAATATTACGAATTACATATTTAATAAAAAGGCGCAAATGAAAATAATGCAAGAAACTTACTTATGAGTGCCTCGAGGAATGTTTTTCACTTGGTAGCAACACTTTTTTACTGATTTAATAAATTATTGGCAATGTTATTAGCGGAGGTGTAACTGCAGACAATGTCGCGCACTGAATGATGATGCTGAGCGTGCGTTGCGCGTTAACTTGTTTCCCTGCGCCGCTTCCTGCGCCGGACTTGCGCACAAAAAGTTCGGCGTTGAGGTGATGTTGATAAACCCGAAAACAAAAACATGCAAACAACGCACGAATTCTATATTACTTTAAGATCGCATATTGCATGACATGATTGCATTCGAAGATCACTTGGAATGTTAAGAGATAGTGTGAGTTGTTATTTTTTCTGCGCGACTTCCGACGTCTCACCCCGCAGCCCGAAGTGCGCATAAGACGACGGGTAGTATCAGTGTGATAGAACGCCTGAAAACAGACAAATAAATGAAATTGAATGTTTATTTTGATTTACTTGAAATATTAAACATAAATACTTGTTACTTTAATTGTAGTATTAAATAATTATTTAATTTATATAATATTCTTAGGAATTATTGTCGCAACTATCCTAAAATATTTAAAAAATTTTGAAAAATAAAATATTGACACTCAGAACTTTGTGGTGTACTCAGCAATTCTTTGCAAAGAACAAAACTAAACATTTGAGTTGTATCCACCTACCACGTTCCGAAACCGTGTTTAAAAGTGCTAAAAAATAGACATTTTCATTTTCTCTTATTTTAATATCTAAAAACGGCAGAGAGGAACGGATTGAAACAAATTAATCTACTGAAAATTAATTCTCTATACGACAAAGTATTAAAATAGTGCATGATATACCTCAGCGAAGCAAACACGCTCGCGACAGTTCATGATAAGACTACCTGCGCGAACTAAACTAAACTAAACTAAAAAGCAGAGCGAGGCGTGAAAGGATGGCAACGACAACACACACGGCAATCACGTTTGCTGATAAATATCTAAATAAACAAAACAAGTCTATTTTAATGATTTTTAGTACATGCTAACGTTTGCTGATAAATATCTAAAATAAATTAAAACAATGATAAATTAAAATTCGATTTATGTAATTTTAAATTCTTATGATACATGCTAAATATTTAAGTGCTATATAAATCTATAATGAGATGATGATATACGTTTTATTGAATCTTCACCAAATAATATTCAACAACATTGCAATACAAATAAACGTATAACTAAACTGAAATCTAAGTACACGGCAAACAGTTTCTATAAATAATGAAATTATTTTACTTACCGGTTATGTAAATCGACGGCAAGTTGGCGAATGCTGAAATAAATGAGAAACAAAACATTAGCTACAGCATTTCGTGCTATGTTGAAATGAATCTGCGTTCCGTCGGAACCCAAACTTTGAATTAAAATTCTTGTTATTCGCATAATAATCATAGGAATGACAATATTTACCTGGTAGCACATTGATTCATGCTCCTCTGTTGATGACAAATATGTTTTTCACAAGTCAATTGATTATTAGCGTTTATAGCGTTGATATTTTCACCGGCCGTGGCCCGACGGCAACGGATTCACGAACACGTCAATAAATTAAACACGCAAAATTTACAATTACGTAGATTACACACGCGATAAATAGCTGATAAAAGCTCAAACAAGTTTATTAACACTAATTATCACCGGCGATCAGGAAATATAACACGATTTACCGAACTTACATCAAAGAATAACACAAGTCGAAAGTGTGGAATGTGCGCTCGTCGTGTATCAGAGCAATTATAATATTTCTGGACAATATTGTACTACAAGTAACTTTCATTATGCGACCGCTCTCTTCTACGGTAGCTTACAAACAGAAAATAGTCGGCCGACTGCTGTCTAGTCTGCGCACTCACCACAAACCCAACTGTTTAGTTGGCGTAGTGTGCGCGCTAACAGCCCAACCCGATCAAACTATCGGCCGATAAAAAGTTTGTGGTCTGCGGGGCTATATTAACTAAAGCAGGTGAATATGTCAAAAACTGACATTATGTTGCAAAACTTTCAATTTAGGGCCAATTGTATTTTAGGGGTACGACTTAGCCAACTACTTAGCCCCTACTCGTAGAGAAATATTACAAAATATAGGCCAGAATTTAAAAGTAGACAATAAAAAGTTTTTTGGCAACGTTGCACAAATATCTTCATGTTATTCGGGCAACTTCGTAACGTACCGTTAAAAACAATACAAAACAAATAAACAATTATTTCCAACGTTACGTGATCATTTCTTCGAGTTATTTTCGGTAGTGCAGTAACGATGTATTCAAATCGGAAACGCGTAAGTCAAAAGTTTTAAATTACATGTAAGATTAGCATTCATTATTAACTTCTTAATGTGGTTTGTGATTTATTAAATAATTAATTGCGGTGAATAATTTTTAACAAAATATTAGGTTTGCCAAAAGGAAACTAGTTTTGATTTGATATTTGAAGACTCTAACACGTAATTTGGATGCGGTCACAGGTTTGCAATAAAATTATTGCTAGAATAAAGTTTAACTTATACTGTTAGTTCATAATAATATAATAAATAAGTATAGATGTCGTTGTGTCCTTCGGTAATGACGCTTTCCACATTCAGACATCTTTGCCCCTGGACTCTACTGTCTCTTGAAATCAGACACAACTTTCATTAGTTGATTAATGAAAGTTATCAAAGCAATAATAAAGCATTGCAAGATTTATTGAAGGCAAAAAATGCACCTAAACCAATGCCCAAAACATTACTTCAAAACATTACGTAAAAAACACAAACCTTCCAAAGCCTTCTAAATCACGAGTTCTTCCATGGCTTGCTACTATTTCAATATTTCCGAATGATTACGCATAAATATTTTCTGCGGAATAAAAAGCACATTAATTTGCAAACCAAAATACTAAATTTACCTAAATAGTGTAATCGTTTTGGCAATTAACAGATACTTTAAGTACCTACTTCCTTGAAAACTTGACATGATCCTTATTAGTCGTCCATATTATTTCCTCCAAAAAATTCAGTTGAAAACAATGTTATATTATTCAACATCACTTGAGTTTTTCTAGGGTTTTAGCATCTTCTTTCTCCAGCTCTCTTTCCATAGAGATGGACTTTATTTCTACCTCCGCAGAAATCTACAGATAAAAATTGATAGTTATTAGGAATAAACTCACATCACGAACAATTATTTCGTAACCCCGGTTTTTGTAGATTATGATCTCACCCACTTGGTACTTTCAGATAATCGTTTGGATTTTAAAATGCGTACACACTAACCCACATTCACACGGTCACATGTTCACACAAACATAACCTCAACCAAAAAAACTGATTCAGTTGAAACAAACGATAAACGTTTGACAAATAAATTATATAATGTGACAATACATACGATAGCTTGATTTGTAGAAATAGGTCCCAACAAAAAAAATGATTTAAATGGTGGACGTCATCACCTTTATCGAAAATTGTGAGACACGGTTTTCCGAAGGAGTTTTTTTTACACAGAACCGTATTAATTTTATACCACAATGCTCAGAATCGGTTTTATTTTCTTTATTTCATACATTTTGTCGTAAAATAAGTGTTTGTACTCTTCAAGAGAATTCCTACAAATGTTCTTCCAATTATTCTCGGCGCAGCCCTATGCGTTTTCAAATACACAGTTTTAGCCTATTCCATCGTTCACTCACGTGATTCCAATATCATAACCACAATTTGATAACATATTTGATCTATAATCTGTGAAATTAAAGTTTAAAATAAACTATAATGCAGATAAATTTGAAGTGTTCACTTACCTGTATCTCTTGCCAAGTTGAAGCGATATAATGCTGAGCGAACTGTATTTTCTTCATCAAAGGAAGACAACACAAACAAAATATTGGAAGAATATATTTCTTATTAATACAGACACTCAAAATAGTGATTTTTAGCTTTTAATATCTATACACCCTAAAGAAAAGAAAACTGAAGAGACCCCCCTCTTCAAATTTTAGCGACATCTATTTGCTTTTTTATTGGATTTCCAAAATTACTTAAAATTCATAAAATACGTCAGCACCTTCAGTTCAGTACTTAAAATTGATTTGAAGTATGACATATGCAGCGTCATGGCAAGCTATGACCGAAAAGATGAGCCTGAATTAGCTGGCCCTGCCTTAAACAAAAATCGAACGTTACTTCCGATTATCACTTTCTGATAGCATCATTATCAAACTAACCTGTAATCCCTAAACTTACCTTGTAATTAAAATGATTCCATCCGAAAGATATTTCATGTATCCAACAAGGGTATACAAATTAAATCAATTTAAATCCGAATTTTTAAACTTACTTAAAAATGTTTTTGAAATTTTATTCTAGGAAAACCCAGAACATGACATTAAAGAAGAACCTGCTACCAAGGATATTAAACTCGAACCTGATTGGGAAGAGAGACTTCTACAAGAATTCCCAGACCTCGACGTGAAACCAAAACCATCAATATTATGGGAAGGAGATGTGGTGAAAACTCCTCAAATAAAGTTCCAAGAAACTCCCACGTTGCACACAATCCAAGCATCAATACCATTGGAACCACTCGTTCAGTTACCACCCGAATCGCCACCAATTCCAGATGATAACATTACGGAACAAACAATTGATGAAATGTTTGCGGACACCTTTGAACAGTTTCGAAAAAATTTGAAGCATAAAGAACGAGGTGTGAGCTCACTCAAACATTTCCTCGACTTTCTCCCGCGAAACATTCAAAATATGAACAATGCATTAAACAATAAATGTGTGGAATATGAGAGAGTCAATAAAGAAGTTAATATGCTAAGAAATGCCAAAGCGGTGCACGATACAGCGTACAATAATTTCAAGACGTTTGTTCAAAGAGGACCCAGGGCTATGTCTGGATTTGTGCTGGAAGAAACCACTGCGATTTTGGTACAGTTTGAATCGGTAAATCGACAATTGGATATAAAACTGACGAAACTTGCGGCGATCGATAAGAAAATTAGAGATTTACAAAATCAAGTGTTTGCGGCAATGAATGATTATCGAAAAAGCGAGATAATTTGCGAAAATTATCACCGACGACATCGAACATTCCAAACGAATATTCATTCATTTTTAGATTCATTCAAAACGACTTAACGACTTACTTTTTGTTTAATTTTTTTTTTTAAATTGGATTCGTTATGTATTGTCTGTTTTATTAAGTCATTTTAATAAAAGTTATTCATTATAAAACAAATGGTTGATGAAACTTTTGCCTGTCACTATGTAAACTATCATGTCAAATAATTTGTTTTGTATTTGTTTTGTTTGACATTTGGCTTTTATTTCAATTTAGAAATTGAAATGAAATGACACTTTTGGTACCAGCGTGTTATTTTATGTATTTATTTTCATCTTATCATTCTGAACACTCTGCGTCTGGTGTAAATGTAAATGAACGTTGAATATGTTTTTCTTTCAAAATTTCGTGCGCGGATCTTTTCCTACAAAGCAATCGCGATTGATGCAGCATCAGTGGATGCAACCGACGCAAATGCAGAGAGAAATGGATGCGAGCCCACTGCTTAAGTATATTTACCTGAGCGGTGCGGGCGTGTCTCAGATGGAGAGGTTTATTGAAACTTGCCGGAAAAATTTCTTGATTTACATCGTTACGATCGAGACGGATATGGATGAATCGTCAGGGAATACTTTTTATCTGCAACATGAAGCAGATAAGATGGCGGATAATGTATCGGTGAATCATACGGACACAGAATCGGAATCGTCTTCATACAGACCGAGATCAATCGATAGAAGAGTAGCGAAAATTAAACAGACAGTAGAATTATTTTTAAAATATTAAAATATAGATTTTATATTGGTTTGTGTTTACAGGAACCTGTAAAAAGTCCATCGAGAATCTTTAAACTGTTTAAGAAAATAATTCCTTCAAAATCAACCAAATCCAAAGAAAATTCACAGCCAAACGAAATCAATTTAAAAGATTTTTGTTTTAATGATGATAATTCCACAAATATGCATTACACTCTTCCGATATCATTCATGCAAGTATTTTTAAATATTTTAAAAGCTTAAACTTAATTTTTTTAAATTAATTTTAGTGAACATTCAATTGGTGAATGTACAAGTACAGAAACAATGCGTGAAATCAACGCGTTAAGCTCCCAAATTGAAGAAAGTGAATATTATGTCCGAGATGTACTTATAAAATACATCCAAGATAAATCTGTTTTAAAAGAAGTACTCAATGCTGTGACCTTTCATAAACGTCTTCTGGAAGACATAGAAAAACGCTCTAATGATTTAACCAATGAGCACTGGATACAACAAGTTGAAAACTACAAAAACAAAGAGAAAACGCTTGAATCCTCAATGAATTCAATAATTCATCAAAATCGTGAATTACTTGAAGAGAATGAACTTTTAACCCGTAAAAATGAGAAATTAAGTGCGGCTATGTTGTGTTTACAAGAATCCGGTGGAAATACTCTGAATAAAACCCAAACATCCTCAAAGTGTATTCTTGAAGATCTCAGTAAAAACAATGATAGACTGAGGCAAAAAGTTAACGGAATTATGAGTCAAGTTGGAAGTATGGAAGAAACAGTGAAGAAGTTTCAAAAAAAGTGTCAATTTCTGCAACAACAGTTGAATAATTCCAATAATCAACTGCATAATACAAAAGGTAATTATTTAATTTTTTACTATCAATTTTTAAGTATTTTATAAATGAGAATAAAATTTTTATAGCGTTTTTTGAGAAAAGTAAAATTGAGTACGAAATGCACGTCGCCAAGTTGTCTAATGAATTGCACAGCGTCAGCAGTATAGTCAAAGATTCCACAGATCAAAGTAACATTATAATGCAGGATTTGGAAATGCTTAAAATGCAACTGCAACCCATCGCGACGTCCATCAACTGGGATAAATTTCGAGTAAGTTATTTTTCTTTTTTACCTCCCTTCTTTCCTTTCTTCTTTTTCCCATACGGACCTATTTTTAGCCGTTTCATAGTACGTCGCCACCAGTCTTGAATCTTTTTCGCAGCTGCTGTTTGTTTCGCATGAATTTCCGCAGCTATTCTTCGTTCTTCTCGCACTTTATTCCAATGGTCAATGAATTCTTTCTGACTTTCATATGTGGCTTTAAGCTGCATGTATTTTTCCATTTGTGCATCACGATCCATGCGCAGTTTGAGTAATTCTGCTTCACGGGTTTCCATTTCGGTTTCATATCGGTACATCCAATAAGTTGTTTCGTTAGATAAATCCTAAAATAATATTAATAAGGTTATGTGGGTTAGGTTATGTAAGTGAGGTAATGTTTATGTTACCTCAGCATTTTCATCAAAATACCGCACTAATTCACCATGAATTCGATTTTCTAGCTCAATATTTGTTTTATTAGTTGAAATAATATCACGATAGTTATTTTCGTCTTGTTCTTGAATGACTTGTGCTTGATGCAGACGTGCCGCCTCCCAATTTTCTAAATATTTGTATTCCAGTTTTCCATATGCAATTGCATCCTCATGAGCGACTTCTAAAAGTCGTAATTGTTCTAATTTATCATTGTAAGTTGATTCTAGTTCTTTCCTTTGACTATGCAGCTGCCTCTTAAGTTCTTCTTCTTGATTACGAGTTTCTTCTTCGTCAACCTCAAGCTTTTCTTCGTCCTCAAATGTTTTCTTCATGATTCGTGTAGCTTCAACTAAAGGTGCATAAGATCCATTTAATCCCATCTGTTCCAAGGTCTTATAGATTACAGAGTAAATCATGTTTAAGTCTGCGTAGCGTTTTTTCGACTCTGAGAACTGATTCTCTTCGAATTCTAATACTTGACCATAACGATCATCAAGTGTTTTATATTCAGGATATTTTATAGTCATTGGACTATGTTCACCTTGTGAGGTACATCGCAAAATGGCAAGTTTTTCTAGTAAATCTTCAAGAACCAGAGTGACCATGAGTTTTTCAAAGTCGTTGTCTTCACTCTCGTCAGTACTCAAAGCGCTTACATTTGTGAATGAAAAAGTTGATGATGATTCTGGAGTGGCTGCTGATTCTTCTTCAATTTCTTCTTCTTCAGCGTCTAGGCATTCATAGGTGATAACTTCTTCGGTAATAATATTATCATTTTTGTCTTTCCAGCAAATTGTGGCACGGTCTGTTATTTTAGGCATGTTTGTGTATATTATTTAATAAAATATATGTAAATGCAATTTGAATGACATTCAAATTGAAATGTATCAGGGACAAAGTAATGTTGACGTTGATATTTATTTTGTAAAGTGTGATATCTTGATTTTATTTATTTTTATTTTTATTTACAGAAATGTGTGAGGCCTTTGCCTGAAATGATAAACATTCATCGAACTTGCATTAATGAATTGAGTAGTGCATTGATTTATAAACAGAAAGAATTGAATTTGGCATCATCTGAAAAGTATAATATCAGTTTTTATTCTTTTTTGTTATAATTTTTTAAATTTATTTTTATTTGTTTTATTATAGTGAAACTTTAAAACTTTCAAGTTCCAATCATGAACCTCTTAAAGATAGAATACAACAACTTTGTTCACAATTAGAAGAATCTCTTAAGGAAGAAAAGTCTTTAAAAGAAGATATAGATTCATTAAAACATGAAATATTAACAAAGGAACAAAATATTGAATCATTACAATCAGTAATTGCTGATAAAGACAATGAAATCGATGTTAAAGTAAATTTACTTAATGAAAGTGCTGATAAAATCAATGAATTAAACGATCAGGTAACTTTAACAACAAAATTTATTACTTTAAATAAAATTTTTGAATTTCAAGTTAGCAAATGCTAAGACAGAATACAATCAGCTATTGTTCAACACTGAGAAATATCGACACGAAAACAATGCTCTTCACATGCAGGTCAAAGGCATGGCGCAGGTGTTAACTGCGACTGGAGCTGGTGATATTGCGAAAGAATTGGCAAATTCACAAGAGAAGTTAACAGCCATACAGACGCAATTTTTGCTGTAATATTTAAATGATTATTTTAACAATATTCGGTCACTAATAAAAGTTTTGTTTCAGTTGGCAGCAGAAAATAATATCATGCTTAAACAAATCGAAACAAACAAAAGTGAACGTCAAACACTTGTTGCGTATCAAAAGAATTGTTACGAGCAGTTGCAAGTGTTACACAAGAATATTGAAGACCTAGAGAAGACAAACGAGATACTTAAAGAACATTTAGAAAATGAAAAACAGACTGTCAATGCTCTACAAACAGAACGCGTGCGACATTTGGAAGAAAGAACAATTTTGACTGCAATTTATGAAAGACTTAAGTCGGAAATCAGTAAAGTTGATCAATTGGAAGGTGCCGTCACGACAATGAATAAGAAAGCCAGTAAATTAGCAGTAAGATTTTTAATTAATTAATAATTATAAATTACTTTTGATAATGTATGTTTTTAGTTGATAGCTGAATATAACAAACAACTCGGTGAAAAACTCCAAAATGAAGTAGCCGAAAAAGATGTGGCTATAAATGAACTACAAAACAATGTAAAACAGTTGAATTCGTTCCAAATGGAGAGCACCAAGGAAAAAGTGGCGCTCTGCGAAGAGTTGAACAAAGTGTTCAGCGTCAAAGAGGTACTTAACACTAAATTGACTGCTGAGTTAGAGAAAAACGTGATTTTGGACGAATCAAAGAGAGAAATTCAAAACAGCGCTAACTTACAGGTCTATTATATTCATTAATAAATTATTTTAAAATCTTTTAATGATAAATACACTTTAGTTAAAGGAAATTCAAGCTGCGTACAATCGTGAGCATGAAGCACTTAAGACACTTGTTCAAGACGTTAAAAAATTAGTGGCTGAACGTGATTCTTTATTGCAAACAAATAAAGATTTTGAATCAAAAGTAAGTTATGTTAAATTGTAATTGATTTATTGTTAATATTTTATATATTTTAGTGTATTAATCTTATGATGGAACATGATAAGCTTGTGGAATATATTAAAACACTTCAAACAGACTTCAAAGAAAAAGAAGAGAAATTTTACGAGTTGGAAAAACATATCGAAAAACAATCGGATGTTCTTGAAACTTTACAGAAAAGCAGTTTAAGTGAGGTTAATTATTTAAGAAATAAATGTGAATTGACTACCAATCAAGTGGATTCTTTAAAAACTGAGAATGAAGCTTTGAAAGGATCTCTGGAATATTTACAAACAGATATTGGCAAAATTCGTAATGATTTAGATCAATCAAAACAAAATGAACAGGTAAATATTTAGGCATTTAAAATTTATAATATAAAATTTAATTTTTATAATCTTAGGAATATAAAAATGCATTGGAAAACCTTCAAAATACTTATAATGAATTATATCAGGAATATAGAAACAAAACAAACGCATTACAACAAATAATTGAAGAAAATGAAGCGTTGAAGATAAATGTGTATTCTTTGGGTGAAAAGTTCAAATGTTTAAGTGAAGGTTTGTTAAAATAAACTTTAAAAAATAATTATACTAGTTAAACTCTTAATATTTGACAGAAAATGAAAGAATTTCACAAGATTCTTTGCGTTTGGAGACAATGCTTGCAGAAAAATATCAAACCACAAAAGTGGCTGGTCTACCAACTCCAAAACACGTAGAGAATGTCTTGGATGACATAAATGCTAGAGATGAAGAGATTTTAATCCTTCAGGATCGTCTGCGTGAGCATGAAGAGCGCGGAGAGGAATTAAATGATTTATTTGCAACTATTTCAGAAAATCGGAAGTAACTTAAACTCATATTTTGTATGATATTATAAATAATATTATGATTATTATATTTTAGCAATTTTGAGAAGAAAAATGAACTATTGCAACAAGAACTCGATAGCACCGTGCAAGACTTGCAGAATTATCGTGAACGTTGTGATAAACTCGAAAAAATCATTGAAGAGTTAGAGAAAAATATGGTTTCCATTGATGTTTTGGAAGATCAGCATGAGAGGTTTAATTCGACGCTTGAAGCACGCAAACAGTTAATTTATAAAGTATTCAATTACATCAATATTTAATAACACTGTTTATTTAATTTATAGGGAGTATAAGATTGCATTCCAAAAACTTGAGGAAAAAATAAATGATTTACAAGAGCAAAAAGAGCAAGATGATAAAAAATATGAAGAAACTGCTAAAAATTGCGAGCAATATAAAGAAGCACATGAAAAACTTCAAAAGGCTCATAAAGTATTGGCACTCAAGTTATTCACAGCTGTCAGAGTATTAATTTGCGAGAAAGTCGCAATGGAAACTTCACAAACAAAATTAAACACTTTGGAGAAAGATAAAGAACGATTATTGAAACATAACGTAAACATTCTTTATAAATATTTTGTATAATTACAATATTAAACTTTTTATTGTTAAAGGAACAAAGTGAAGAAGAACTTCACCAACTTCGAATGCAGCTTAATGAATTCCAACAAGAATTAGACGAAGCAAAATGTGAAAACTCTTCATTATTTGAAGACATCACATCGACTCGCGCACTTATATCAGACTTACAACTTAAACTATCCGAAGCATCAATTGGGAATAATCAGAAAATAAAAGAACAAGAAAAGTGCATAGTTACAATGAAGAATCAACTCGACGAAAGCCGAAAATCTTTGGATAACTTACAAATAATAATCGCTGACCTTGAAGCCACCACAGCATCTTTAGAGTTTGAGAAATCATCAGCTGAAATACGCCTGCACGAACTTGAAACACAAACACAAAGTGAAATAATCCGCAGTAATGAAATGAAAAGAGCCATGCAGAGTACTCTATCATTGATCATTGAAATGAAAGAACGCGGGAATATTTCCCCACATGTTCACAACCAGCTGCTTCAGTCATTTAGTGTGGCGCACGTCTGAAGTTGGGGTAATCAACACAAGATGGCGCCTGATGTTCCAATGCAACGTTAAATTCAAGTTTATACGTGCGTATAGTATAATAAATAACCTCTAACTAATTTCGTTTCGTTTCACCGTGCTTTATGTTTACAATTTCTAAGCGTAATGTCATTTTCTAATTCTCCTGATAATAATTACGCTTCGATATTGAATGAAATTGAACAAGAGGAGGAAAAATACAAAGAATTGAAAAAAGAACTAGAGGCATGTAAAAACCACCTGCGCGCTAATGAAATACTCAACAATCCCGAGTTTACCCGCGAAAAGTTATTCCAAGTGCGCGTAAAAGTTTTCCGAACATTTACGGACCTGCTGGCGGTCTTACCGGAAAAGGTCACCGCCGAAGAGCTATCATCCCAAACCCTCAACGCTCTCTCTGATGATTGCAACATCTTCCTTATCGAGCTATTCGTGTCCCGTCCCTTCCATAACAAGCTCCTTGCAAAAGAATGGCTCGTAGACTTTTCCATCGCCGCCGGCGGTCGTAAAATCGCCAAATCCGTGACCCTACGAAACCGCGCCGCCAACCCTATCACCGCTGTACTAGCAGTCCCTCAACGCAGGACTAACGATGAAATCGTAGAAGTATTCCTCACGTCTCCGACGAATTGGCGCCGTATTCAGTTGGCGAAGATTCCAACCGATGTTTCATTCAAGTTTACCAATTGCAAATCGAAGGCTGGTGTTTCTGTCGACCAGGCGATTGAAAAAATCAATCGGATTTATGCGGAGCATGAGGATAAGCAGCGGCCGTCAACGATGAATGAGTTGCTCAGCTACAAGTTGCGTTGTGAGCTCGATAGAGAGTCCTTCATCGCGGCGACGGCGCGCAACTCATACGCCAGCTTGGATCCGGCGCAAATTATTTCTAACGAGGGTAATCGCGCCGCCAAAATCGAAATTAATGATCAACGGGTGCAGCTGGAATTGGACGTCGGCAAGAAGTGCTTGCGGATCGAGGCGCCCGGGGAGGAATTGTGCCAATTGAAACGATATTTTACGATGGCGTCCCTTAACGACGGCCGGAAGTGGCAAAAGCAAGATTTCCAGCACATACAATCAGTTAATATTCTCAAGGTACATATATTCAGTTTTTTCTTTTAAAAACCTAACTTAAATGTTTTATGTCTCATTTAAAGTTAAAATGCTGTTAATATTTGCTTTTTTGTATCTTAAAGCACTTTAGCGCCCTCTATGTTTGAAATATTCAACTAAAACTATGTTTGAGTCTGTATCAATTTCAATCGCGTATTTAACACTCTTTTTATCACAATTTTTGATGTTTTAATACTTATTCTGCTATTCGGATCCAAGATGAATCCAATAAATCATAGATCATTAAAATCTGTCCAGCGGTTCTTGAGTTATAAACGTAGTAACTAACCCAACTTTATTTTATACCTTTAGATGTCTGTAGATAAAATTGCAACACTGTACTTTGTGCTGTCAAATGTCATAACCTACTTGACGTACTTTTAGGTTATGCTCAGTTAATTTTAGTTAAATTTGCTAATACCGTTTACATGATCTTTAATATCTCTTCGAATGCTCAAATTTAATCCACATGAAAAGATCAAATTTAATACGCAACTAAATTTTATCCCCTCTGGAGCTCACATGACAAGTCACGTCGCGCATGTCTTCGTTGTCGCCTGCCATAATAATTACCGTCTGATACGAGCGCCTTTATTGCTCGTTTAATCCTCCCTTTATGGCCTTAACTTTATGATGCATCTTCGGATATTCCTTGTGCATTCCTCGCGGAATCCGACGCCAATAAATATCAGAAAGACATTGCAGATATCTTCATTTGCGGCTGCGAATTTCTCCAAATGCGATTTTATCCGCTGTTTTTTTTTTTTGTTTCCAGGACGCTAGGACGAAGCTAATGGACGCCATGAAGTGCAATCGCATAGATATACACGATCTGCTCAACATTTATGATGTTTACAGCCGATTTGTCGATAACTGTCCATTATAACTCAACACAAATAGATTTTCAACTTGTGTGTGCATTTTCATGATGTATGCGTTGTATTTATATCCGTCTCATGCCACTTCCTGCTCGTCTTCTTCCTTCGCCAGCTCGTATTCTTTAGTGGCCAGGCAAACAGTGAATTTAATGCGGGCGGTTTTGCAGTTATGGTCGCGATTACGACGCAAGGTTTGCGCAGCGCTCGTGCCCCGCCGCCATCCATTAGGAATGTAAACAAATTAAACGCGTTGTAATACTTGTAATAGGAGTAAACTCGAACATTTGCGCCACACATATCAATCGCAAGTGGCGCATCCTAGTTCCACACAACTCGTCGACACCGATGTGCACTGGTTCGAACTATTTTACGGCCCGAAATTCACTCTAGTAAGCACGGAGTGTGTTTCTAAGTTAATTGTGAATTTCTGACCGATGGACGCGAAGTAGGTCGGGTTTTTCACGTGATTAATTTCTATTATTAAATACGGGTCTGGTTTTGGCGAGCGAAGTGCACGATGCAACGATTTCAAGCATCTAATCGTTTATCACGCATGTTATAAATATTTATGAGTATCATATGCGAATTCATGTGCGATATGAAATTTAAATTCTGCTCGACCGACGGCGCGTATTGTCGCTTTGTAGACATTTAGCGCGATGCAGGAAGCTTGGAATATTCTTTATTGCTTCAATAATATGCACATATTCACCATATTCGCTGCGTATTTAAAATTCGATATGACGTTGTGGTGGCAATCATATTTTAAGAGCGTATATAGGCAACCAACGTTAAACTGAAGCTAATAAAGTCACAAAAATTAAAAGAATTTAATAATTACTGTGCTTTTGATAATAAAAAATGATTGCAATTGTGTCCTGTCTATTTATGCTTTAATAAAAAATGGTGACTAATATATTATAACCACTAACCTTATTTTTTTACTAGACGCTTGGGATCGGGGTGAAAACTATGTAGAATATCGACTAGCAACATTATAAGAAAGTCGATATAGTCTGAAAATTTATAAATATTTAATAATTCTTACACTGCAGTTGTTTTCATGCATAATATTTTCGTAACAAGTAAAAATAACATTGCTACAATTATATTCAGCTTATACTTACTCTATTAAAAGTTGTGACTATAACTATAACCTAATTATTCGGTGTAAACTGTCAATTTAATATTTGACAGAACTTTGTAGTAAAAATTTAAAGTCAAAAGGTTTTCATCTCTTTGAGTTGAGTATATATAGGCAACCAACAATACAGCAAACCTAAAAATCCCAAAAATTTAGTTATCTTAGAGAATTCTTGCATTTTAAAGCGTAATATTATTTGAAAATGTAAAAGTAAAGTGTTTACCCTTGTATTATGCTTGTTTATACTCCTATATATAAAGGTTATAACTACTTTATTATAACCCCACAACCATATTGTTCAACTAGTCGCTTTGGATTCAAGTGAAAACTCTGAGTTTAATATTTGATATAACTTTGTGGTGACAATTGAATGTTAATACTCTAGCATTGTGTCATCTGTCATTGTTGACTATATAGGCAACCAACATTACAGCAAATCTAGAAATGCCCAAAAATTGCATTTTTATGCGTCATTTTGTTTTAACAAGTAAAAATAAAATATTTACATTTGTTTCCTGCCTTTATACTCGAATAAAACTTCTAACTATATTACTATAACCACATAACCTAATTTTTCAACTAGTCGCTCGGGACGCGAGTGAAAATGAGCTCCCATGTTTCTATATTCCATGTCAATTTGATATAAAACATAAAAACCAATCTTCAATAAAGAGCGCGCTCGTCCACTGCACTCACACATTCATTCTACGAATGCCGGATAACGAACATGTTACAATATGCAACACGGTGTCGGTGGCGAAGCGGACGAATCCACGCACACATGCATTCCGCTTGGTTAAGCATGCATGGTGGTTGAACTACGGGAATAGTTTCTGTGTTGAGCAGTAGTTTCAGTATAGTTTAGCGAACGTAACGGCGCGGCTGGCGGCGAAGTGAACGAGAGCGCGCGCTGTCTGGCAGCCGCACACACTTGATACGCGCACTCAGAGCCGGATAGCGGCGGGCGAGCAGCCGAGGAAATCATCAAACACGCGCGCGCCGGAACGGCCCGAAAGTCGCGCGCGCTCCACACGAAAATACACCGCGCATCGCGGCAACTTTTTATTATTGTCGCGAAGTGATAAAGATATATACAGTCGCTAATTTTCTCGCGAAAAGCTCTCGATTGAGTGAATGTGGTCCGGCAGCGAATTATTTGTATATTCAGTGCCTTCCTGCTAGAGTTACCAATTAGTCATGGATATTTGGCATCGGCTTTTATTGTTCCTGGCGTGCATCATCGCTCTGGGTAAGTTATAAAAACCTAATTTTATTCCGGACTAAAACTCCGCTTTTTTTAAATTTGAAAAAAAATCGCCGTTGTCGTAAAAATGTAACGTAAACATAGCTTGAAATATTTTACAGCGTCGATGAGTTAAAAAGCAAAAGAGTATTGTATTTATAGAAGATTATATTACGACGCAGGAAAGTTTTAAACATTTCTCGCCCGCAGCAACCGCGTTTGACTTTTATCATGCATTTAAATTTAAATAAAACCACGAGCCAGCGCGCCACGCGTATGACACAATACGCGAATGGTGGCCAAGGCGGACGAAATCTTTCGATGTTTGCAAAACGGATAAATCTATAAATAAATTATAAGCGTGAGACGATTTGTCGTCGGGGGTTTATGATTTGCGCAAATATTTACCATGCACTTTGCGCCGAAAATGCAAACAAACAAAGAATTGATGATGCATCATTGTGACTACAGAGTTCAAAGACACGGTTATTGCAGATTCAAAATGTTAATAAAATTTGTACAATGCGCTGCGCGGAATTGCCGCACAATAAATGACTCAATAACATTAAATGCATGAAAGCGTGCGCAGGAGTGGAAAAAGGCAACGATCACGGAAAGGATGAAAAACGCACACGAATATCACCGCTAGTGTCCTAGTGGTATCGGACGAACGTTTAACCGCCGCATTATTACGACGTAAACGCGCCGGCCAAACACAATTAAGAATCCAATTTAGTTTATGGCTGTTTAATACACTTTTGTCTTGAGATTGCGAACCGTAGGCAACCCAATGCGCAGTCTGGCATGACACCGCGTGATAAAACTACAAACGACCGCCATCTTTCGCTGCAAAACACCTTAAAACAACATTAACACAAAGTAAAACAATGCAAATCAATATTAGAATGCTATTTATTGACTGTTGATTTATCATCCATTAGTAGCACTCTCAATCAGTGTCAATTGTAGTCGTAATAATTGTTGCGAGACGAGGAATAATATTTAGCGTCGACTGCATAAACATTTTACACCGGCCGGGTTTTCAATGGACATTGCAAAGTCAATAAATCCCAAAATGATGTTTTCTAGTTATAGCCCCGGCGAATTAGCAATGCGCCGCGCATAATTTCCATGTTTTGCTATAACGCTTCTCGCACATAAATTATCATCATGGACGACATTCGCGGCGCGCGCGCGTGTTTCAATCAATAATCAATTAATCGAATAAAGATTCGTATTATATTACCTCCCACGTAGCGGGCTATATTCATCCGGCGCAGGGATGCAATCGCGGCGGCGGTAATGGAGCGAAATGAGCGTTCGCATTCCATTATCCATTAGAAATTGCACCAATTTCGCCAGCGCTATTAACTGCGCTTGTAATAAACGGCACTGACTCGATGTTAATCATTCGAATGATATTTTGTTCGCGCATAATTCAGTATGTGCAACATAGAAATTGTGTGTGCGCCGTGCGTTGGAATATTTGGCATTGTGTGGAATTATAATTAAATGCAAATATAAACAATTATGCGCGATTAATTGAATTCCGACTGTGTTTAAATGACATTTTTGCAATTAATATACTGCACGTGCGGATATAATAAAGGTATAAATGTAGACGAAAATTAAAGATAAGATATAAGATAAATATGGGGTGGTTAATTATGAATGCAACGGGCGCATTTCACGCGTCGTAGAATCTGACTAATGGATGAGCAATGAGACGCCAGAAAAGGTGAAACTATACTCGTACTGTGTATTGTGGACGACATGTGTAGGTAGTGTTGTAATGTCGAATTCTTTGGGGTTTCGATGGTTTGTTGCCGTTACGTGGTTAAATTTACGCTAGACAGCACATAACGTCGTATTTTACTTGAAATTCTTGCAAGAGGACACGTGCGGTGCACAGAGAAACAAAAAACAAGTTATTTTATAAAACAACGATTTTTGTGACAATTATTGCGGTTTGTTTCGTTTATTATATAAAAACTATGAGTAGAAGTCGTTATTTTGAGGTTAAAAACATATTTTTTGTTTTCATGCATAGATGGCGCTGTTTTATAATTCATAACACAATATAAGTTAATCTCAATATTTTAACCTACAATCAAAACAAATATTTATGTAAAAATTTCTTAGAGGAACAAAAAACTCGTCATTTTACAAAACAACCATTTTTGGTGACAATTATTTCTGTTTGTTTAATTTATTCTATAAAAAAACCACAAACTATGATTAGAAGTTGTAATTTAGAGGTTAAAAACATAATTTTTTGTTTTTATGCATAGATGGCGCTGTTTTATAATTCATAACACAATATAAGTTAATCTCAATATTTTAACCAACAATCAAAACAAAAATGTATGTAAAAATTTCTTAGAGAAACAAAAAACTCGTCATTTTACAAAACAACCATTTTTGGTGACAATTATTTCTGTTTGTTTAATTTATTCTATAAAAAAAACCACAACTATGATTAGAAGTTGTAATTTAGAGGTTAAAAACATAATTTTTTGTTTTCATGCATAGATGGCGCTGTTGTTTAAATCATAGCACAACATAACTTAATCTTAAATTTTCAAAGCAAAAATGGATGTAAAAATTTTTCGTCAAGTGAAATTTGCATTCAGTGATGTTCAAAGATGTTAGAAATGCACGAAACGGGACGTCGCGCACTCCAACGGATGTTTAGTCCACCTTACAAGTATCGCATATCCGGCGGCACGTGCTGAACTGTGACGTGTGCCATGTACGAGTTCAAAGGAAGTGGGCATGCAAAATGCAATGCAGCGGGTACAACACCCCGAAGGCGTTTACCTTGTTTCCTACCTTTCGCGCCGGCAACGCGCCGGAGAGATTCACGAGTGATGCACTCCGTTCAAAGTCCGTTAAAATTACATGCGACTGCATACTTGATCACGACTGCGGGTGTAGCAGTGTTAGATTCAAATAATAATATCCCCACCGGATGGGGCCAGCGCTACAAGAGGGTGAGATATACCTAACCTAGTGGCGGGAAAAGGAGCGCACTTCCGATTAAAAGACGGACGCCAAGAAACGAAGCGCGACCCCTCCGCGCAACAGATGGTCAAAATCACCGGAACGTAACCGAAGTCGGCACGAGGCACGCGTCTGGACTCTATCGAAGTGTTCATCAACGGATAGACTGCAGCGAGGCATATCGAGACTAATAAAATCCATCAAAAGTTTATCGCATTAATTGATCAGAAAAACGCGTCTGGTATCGAGCTGGCAAACAACTAGTATATTAATGATGATATTAACTTCAGGAATCAATAGAAGACCAGAGCATCAATATCCAATTTATGTTGATGGTCTTGATGCAGGAGGGAAACTAATAAAGGCCAGCAAAGTGTTGTGGTAGAAAATTGCTGCGTTAAATTGAATTACGTATCAATTCGCACCCCTTTTCTGCGAAGATTAATCTCTACGGTCTAGTAATGTGACAACCTCACAAACACAAGAAATAATTACAATCCTGACAGGATAAATACAGCAAAAAGTAATTATTTGTTCAGTTGACAAGTTATGACGGATTATTGTGTTAAACATTAATTGATTTTATGAATTTTATGAACGGAAGCATCAAGTTTTATTTCTTGGCACATTAAAATAAATTCCGGTCTATGATTATCAAAACTGGATTTTTTGGTGCGGGCTGTAATTAAATTCATTAAGATTAGTTGGCGGACAGACGTGGTTCAAGGCGTTACGTAATTTCGAGACGGAGACGTTACACGCATAAATATGAGGAAATTAAAAATATAAGAGTCAAGTGCAACATCCGGCTTCCTTTCTGTAAAAGGTTTCAAAAGCATTCCGCTGACGTACCTCTCGCTGCATGACTCTTCCTCTCCGAGTTCGGCGCATAAATAATCACTAGAAATCACTTTAATAAAACATGCATTAATCACAATAACGTCGGGAACTCCGTGGTTGATTCTGTGGGTGGCGTGTAACTTATGGCTTGCCACGAGAGATTTGATTAGGAGTAGGAGATGCCTAGACGTGATAGAAATATAAATGCGATTTAAATATGAAAGGCTGTATCTTTGAAAAGTGAGTTTCAAACTGTTTGGCCGGAAAATATTTGGTCTGAACTAGGCAGTGATGAGTACACTAATTAATTACTCGTGAAATGCGCGCAGAACAAAGCAGGGTTTTGTGTTGAGTTAAGTTCTTCATTTAACTATGCAAATACTTGTATTATATTTGAACAAATTTATTCATTTCGTACTAACTAGTTTCAGTTAGTAAATACGAGTGCTAGTCGAGTTGGCACGAAATATGACAACACTAAACTGATTTTCACGTGATACAGTCGCCGATGCCAAGTTTTTTTTCATGCGCTGACGTGGTAATTGCGATTTTAAACGTGTAATTCACAAAAGATTTTTTTAAATTTTAACAAGTACGTAAAATATGACTTTTTAATATTATAATTTTATATTCCGTCAAAAACTCGTACATTTTGTTTTAAATTAATTATTTATTACGAGAATTTAATATAATTTTGTTATTAAAGTGAAATGATTAATTTTTCATTTTATTTAAATGAAATTAAAATTATCATTTCTAAATATACTTTAGCGTCATCTCGATTTATATTATATAACTATAACTATGATTAATTCTCCATATTAACTTTTATCCCTTGTTTTACACCCTTTTAGTTAAAATTTTAAAACAAAAAGTAGTCTATGTTATTCTCCATAGTCAAAAATACTTCTATACCAAAATTTATCAAAATTGACTTAGTTGTTTATGCGTAAAAGCGTTACAAACAAACAAAGAAAAGCCAAACTTGCATGTATATTATTAGTTATTATATACAGATTCATGACATGATTAATTTAAGTATAGGTATACTTAATACTTTGTGTTAGTTTAATGCCAAAAATGCTTTTATTTAATAAATTTGCAACATTTTTAACTAAAAATTCTATATTTCTGCTTATTTGTCAAAAATAACATGAATAATAATAAAAACCATCTACTAAACACCTGAAAGCAATACATTTGTTGCACAAGTAACGCTGCACTTGTAAAAACTCATGCCAAATTTAACCGTGAGCTTTGAACGTGGCTTTGAGCCTCAAAACATACCAACACGCTATTTTCACGCGCAATCTGCCACAAATTTAGGCTCCTCTGATGCGTATTGTATTGTAGGCGGTCCAAAGCAGGTCCGACGTTTAAAAATAAATCGCACGCATCTCACGCGTCCCAAGGAGCGCTCATATTCGTCAGGTTTCGAGACGACGCTGCTGAATTTTGATACAGTCGCTGGTCGCACTAACGCGACCGCAGCGTGCGCTCTAGAGGTAATAGTAGGTAGGTAGATATCGTGTAACAATGCAAACAACGCGTGGATAACAAAGGATACAAATGACGGGGGACGAATGCGCACGTAAGGAACGTAAACTATTCGCGAGCCAAAAAGTTAACTTGGCGCGCGTTCAGTGCTGTACTTACCAACACTTAGCCGAAATAAATTTAGCCGAATTATTGCGAATGTCATGTTTTATTGGATCAAACTGTTGCAATCGCATGGCATGCACTTGGAACGATTCCTAACCTCACTCGAGCGCCACTTGTGTGTCTCGATGCCAAAAGTGTGAAAATACAACACTGATGACGGACAGATACAGACGCAGACACAACAGAAGAGCGAAATGGTAAATTATGCTCCTGTTTTATGCGCTGTGTGCTCACGTTAAATCTCATTTGGCTGCTAAAGAGCAACATTAGTGCCGCCTTCTCTCTCCGGGCGTCAGTCTCGATCCCATTATGTTGCAATAAGACTTATTGCCGACGAGCGACGCTCGAACAACTTGCTCGACACGTTCGTGTGTTGTTACTTTACGCGTTCAACATCATGCAGATCTGCATCGAATCCATCCCGAAAAGTTGTGTACGAATTAGTGAAGCTTGACATTCACGCGTGTATACGAGCGACGAATCGAGAGATTAAAAGCTTCGGCATCCACCATGCGGATAGTAACTCAAAACTCCGAAATGCTCCGAAACTATCTCGCCGCGTAGTAAAAGGAAACTCGCATACACCGAACGCGTCTGATTATAACAATGGCGACGCAATGCCGAAGCGGAAACACGAGAGGAGCGAGAATGTTAATCGTCATTTATATTCGCTGCAAAATTCACACTTGAATGTTACCTCAACCTCGACACGTACTCGCGAATGTGACTTATTGTTGACGAAGTTGTATTTCAATATTCCGACGAAATTTAAAACTTTTCGTTACGCTTCCACCTGAAAATCAGTATTGAAACAAAAGAACTTGAAATGCGTTGAATTACCATGTAGTTCTCGAAGCAAGTAAAGTGGTAATATTTAAGTTGATTCTTCATGCGTACAGAATAAGAAATGTAAGGAAAATAATAGAGAAAACTCGGATGCGGCCAGCGTGGATGATATACAAGATGGCCGAGATTCCTGTGCCATGCGCACTCGAGCAAAACAGAATAATTTCGAATTTCTAAAAAGAAATTATGATGGTCAAGTCAAGAGTGTTGTGCAGTATGAATATACTGACCACACGCACATAAATACACTAGGGAATTGCGTGCGGCGTGCAAAATATACCATAACTAATATACCATAACTAATGCATTTTTAAATTTTCAGTTAATTATAATTATTGTGTTGTGCATTATTCATAATATAAGCAAACACAAGGTTTATTCAATCCAACGAAATTATTTTATTGTATGCAACCCATTTAACATCTGTATTGTCCTAGTCTATTCAAAATGTAGAACATATCCTCCACCAGTTTGGATGTGGCTGATTTGGGCAAGCTTTAAGAATGTGAACACTCGAATTAACTGGCTCACATGCCCCTTTGACTCGGCCAGGATTGTATGGTAACATTGGCGCGCTTATTACAATATTGGGACTTGTGCCAAAAGTGATTTCGCGTAATTTCTAAATTGAGCGGCGAACGAGGATTATTTTGGGTCCAGCGAACCTACACACATGCAAAGCGACAGTGTGTGAATGTATGTGTTGCGAGAATATTTCGTAAACCCGAAACGGAATCCTAAACTTTCCAATACAATGGCTTTAATAACGTTAAACGACGCATGCAAATCACGAAATTGGAAATTTGACAAATTTATCGTTCTCACTTAGAAGAAAGATTTATGAGTAGCCAATTAGTTTTCATGTAGTTTTCTTATTTATGGCAATTTTTGAATTAGAATTTGAGCTCATCTTCATATGAAATCGTCTAAAAGTCTAAACTAAAGTCTAAAACACCAACAGATGTGCATTGTGAACACTGCATAATGCACCGGTGAATATGGCGAAATAGTTATGCTATTACGAGCGGTTCCGAATAACCCTTTGGAAATATGTAAATCGCGCACGAGGGCTGGGGCGTATTGCCGACTTCCGGCGCTCTCAGCGAAGAACGCCGAGATGCGCACGGCCGGCAAACAACAATGACGACCAAAACGTACCGCATAAAAGCACAACGAGCTCCCCGCACACACCGACGCATTTCAGTATTAAATTTCCGTTTTACCGGGCGCGTGTATATGTATGTGTTTATGTTACACTCGCTTGCTGACCGTTCATTCTTGGGAACTGCTACGAGTTCCCACAAAACAAGTAAATCACCACTCACTCACCTCTGCGAATACAGACCGACGCAGGCAAAGGATATAAAATGTAACGCTTTGTGCACATGATTTATTTGCATTTAAAGTTGACGTTTTATGCATGGGGACCAAAATATTTTTTAACTTTTCATCGCCGCACATCAGCGGACGCATCATTCACAAAATTACCGACTGAAATCAAAGGGTGTAGCGTTGTAATAAACATAGATTAACATTGTTTCAAAAGTTGACCAATTAATTAGCGAATTTTGGATTTAATGTTTGTTAGGGGCTAGTTAGCGTTACATTTCACTTTGTAAATAGGCAACACAACATACAAACTACGCACACAAATCATAATGAGCTCATGAATAATTTTAGCAACTTTAAAATCTAGTTTAAAACCACATTTTTAATTTGTTTGGTTTTGTATTTTTAGGAAACTGTAAACTGCAAATCTTGGATTTGAAAGTGCCGTCGACGATTGAGAATGGCGCACAGGACGAAGTAATCCTGGATTGCGACTTCGAGGCGTCGAAGGACGAAGACGGATTGGAAGTTAAGTGGTTCTACAACGAGAACGAGCAAATCTACCAATGGATACCGAAGCGCAGCAAACCGCAAGCGCTCGGTTCGTTCAAGGATCGCATCGATCTCAGCTACCAGGCATCCACAGATCCAACCACGATGTTCCGCGCACTCCGGCTTACGGGCATCACGCCGGAACTCTCCGGTGATTACAAGTGCAAGATCACCAGCTTCGTCAACGAGGACACCGCCACGAAGAAGATGATTATTTACGGTTAGTATGGATGGCTGGCGCTCACTCTGCCGAGCGTTGATAACGAGATGTATGATGTGCAAAGTTGGATCTCCACTTTGGGAAACATGTCGTGACGAGGCGAATGGAAGCATTTCCTATTGCAAAAGTGCACGACTGCGCAGCGTGGCATGAAAGCGCATCACGAGGATTTCACTTTTTAAACTTTTCAATTTCGTATTTACCAAAGTCGTTTCAGCATGCAAGAAATTTCCATAAATTCTACAGATTTATTTTTGCGCTTCACGCTATTGTGCGCATGTTAATCGCTTCACTTAGAATGTTATCAGTTGTTTATATTGTTTTAATCGACTTGTGGCCGGTTGTTTGAAGCGTTTTTACCGATTGTTTGTGGAAAACAATTCGTGATGCGCGCGTGTTGCTTGTGTTTCGCCACAGCACGCGTCTGCTTCGCATCGCTGCTCTTCCACAAAGGCGATGAGTCAAAAGAATACAAGAATACTTCCTTTACAGTGGCGTATGGTATATTATTCTTTTAAATTGCAGATAAATTGAGTACAAGTTACAAGTTCGTTAAAACTTATTGTGTCCACAGCTTACCGTTAGGAACATATTGTTCAATTATTTTACTTTGATATGATACATTTCCAGACCCTGCTGATGAGTTCCAGTTCATTCACATGGACGAGGATGATAAGGTTCTCTGTATGGCAAATGGCGTCTATCCGGAACCCGAATTGATCATAACCATAATCACCAGGTACATACCTAACCCTACTTTATTGAAAAATAAAATTAATTAATTTATTTTTAGTAATGACACCAAAGGAAACTCCAAAGACACCGATGGTGATGGTATTCCTGATCATAAGGATGATGACGATGACAATGATGGTATACCCGATGCCCAGGACGACGACGATGACAACGACGGTATTCCTGATGTGAAAGACGCAGATCACGACACAGATGGCGATGGAATTCCTGATAAGAACGACGATGATGACGACAATGACGGAATACCTGATGCTAAGGATCGTGATGATGATAACGATGGTATTCCTGACGCGCAGGATAAAGACCACGACTCTGACGGTGATGGAATCCCCGATCACATTGACACTGACGATGATAACGATGGTACTCCTGATGCTAAAGATAAGGACCATGATACTGATGGTGATGGAATACCTGATCACAAGGATAATGACGATGATAATGATGGTGTCCCGGATGCAATGGATAAAGATCATGATACTGACGGTGATGGTATCCCTGACCATTTGGACGATGATGATGATAATGATGGTGTACCTGATAATAAAGATGACGATGATGATGGTGATGGTATCCCTGATGCTAAGGATAAAGATCACGCTTCCAATGCTGGAGCAACTGAGCAAATGGCAGTTAAAGATACCGACGGAGATGGTATTCCTGATCATCTAGATCCCGATGATGATAACGATGGAATACCAGATGATAAGGATAATGATGATGATAACGATGGTATCCCTGACGCGGAAGATGAAGATCATGATTCTGATGGCGATGGAATTCCTGACCATTTGGACGATGATGATGATAATGATGGTATACCTGATGATCAAGACGAGGATGATGATGGTGATGGTATTCCTGATACTGAAGATGAAGACCATCCTGATAATACTAGTGATGATGACGATGATGAAGATGAATTCATTAAGGTTCAAAACGATGATAAGACCTTCAACCTCACCAGGATTCTCAGCTACAAGAAAACTGAAATGTCCGGTGATACGAAAATTATCTGCGAGATGTACATCCCTGGTACCACATACAGAGAGAAGAAATACGTGTATGTTTATTCAGGTAAATAATGAAATTTGATTAGAATTAATTTTATCAGAAACATTCATGATTCTCCTATGCAGCCATCTTGTTTTTCATACTCTTCATATACATTAATGCATAATGCTCTAGGCATCATCTCCACAACCACAGAAACTCAAATTCAGTCTGAGTTCGATTATGATAGCGTCTTTACGACTCTCGCAACCGAAACGGATGATACCGATGATGATGATGATGACGATGATGATGATAGCCAGGAAGGTTAGAACGCAAGCGCATCGATTACCCACCAAATGCATTTAGCGACTAACGAATTGTGCGAACAGTTTAACAATTAACATCACGTCACTACTCTCGTACACCCGACATGACAGCCGATAGAGATTACAAGATGAAGTCAGATTGATTTGAGTGTTTGTGCATTGTGGCCTCGTGTGTCATCACTCCATGCATGTTTCATTATCATTACAATTGTAAATCAATGTTTTAATATTTTAAAATCTTTATTTTCAGGTAATGGCAGCTGGAAACAATTACCTAGCATCACTATGCTGTTGATGACATTTTTCTTCGTGTTGATGGATGCGTACTGATTGATATTTACACATCATTCATTTTAAATCTATTTATTTTTGTTGTTTTTCTCGATTTTGAGACATTCATCACGCGTAAATGAAATGTGAAGAGATGGAAATTACTAAAATTGTAAATTTGTACATGTAACTAATAGTTAACGACGAAATATTCTTGTACATTTTGTAAATACGAAAAAATGAATTTAATGTGTATATACGAGGTAAATATCTACACGAATACCAAATATGAATACCAAAGTTGACGAGGAATGATTGTAATAACTGTTCGCGTTAATGCAGAAGCGTTTTTTGTAAATACTAATGTAAAATCTTGTACAATTTGAATTCTGTTATGTAATTTTTAAACGATTAATCCGTAAGCGAGACATCTAGTTCTTATATTTGCGATTTCATATTTTATTTTTTAACTAACTTGCATCATCACCAATAACTTAATTAATTTTAAAGATTATTAACTTTTGTTATAAGTGAAAATATACTAGTCCTGATTACAAAATACAAGTTTTTGTCATTATTTTTGACATTGTCACATCCTCATGGCTAAAAATCATTTAAAAACATTCTTTTGGTCAAAATCACTACAAAATCCTAAATTTATTCATCCTGCAACCAGTTTTACTCATTGTTTATAGTGGACATCACCTAACATCGTGATATCCGTTTTGGATTGCTCTTCAAAATTTTCCGTGCTGTAAGTATAAATTAATTTCAATTACATGTATATTAATAAAATAAATAATAAGTTTTCAAGTGGCATATTTTCAGCTGATTAATGGACCACTTTTAGATTCGCACGAATTCACTTATCATATAAATGTTTTGTTAAAACTGCAAGCATGGTTTGTTTTTATCAAGCCTCGAGTGAACCCGACGTACTTATTGCTGATACAATACAGAGAGAATACGAACATCGGAACCGTAAACACTTATGCTCCACACGCTGATAACACACGCTCTTTTTTTGCATTCTTTACTGCCGCTACTCTTTCCAAATAAATTGATGAGTGACGCTGCTCGAATTGTCACATCATGATCATCGCATCAGCGGACATGATGTTGGTTTCCCGGTCAATTCGCTTAGCTATTTGCCTTGTGGTGTGTGTAGGCTTACTTGAACAAGGTGTTCATGTAAATGCCAAACCGTTCGAAACAAAGGCCTCGCAATGTGGCTATCAGGTATTTAATTAGTTGTAGTTTAATATAAATCAATTCTAATTGATGTTAATTAACTTTAAGAGTTGTAACAAAGCTCGTACGGATGCTTTGAACGTCCATTTGGTTCCTCATTCGCACGATGATGTCGGTTGGCTCAAAACGGTTGATCAATACTTTACCGGAAGTACGTAAAAATGTTTTTAACTTAAACAAATTATATGAATTCTTTTATTTTGTTGATATTAGCAAAAACCAATATTCAACGGGCTAATGTAAATGCAATTATATCATCCGTGGTGCTTGCATTAAAAGAAAATCCCGAACGACGGTTCATTCAAGTGGAAACCGCGTTCTTCCATCAATGGTGGTCGGAGCAAAACGATGCAACCAAGAAAACCGTGCATGAATTGGTCGAAAATGGCCAACTGCAGTTTACTGGAGGTGCCTGGAGTATGAACGATGAAGCTGCTGTTCATTATCAAGCCGTAATCGATCAGTTTACGTTTGGTTTGAAGTTTTTGAATGAAACATTCGGCGAATGTGCTCGCCCGATGGTCGGGTGGCAAATTGATCCGTTCGGTCACAGCAGCGAAATGGCTTCCATTTTTGCGCATATGGGTTACGATGGTGTGTTCTTTGCTCGTGTGGATTGGAGGGACAAAATGGAGAGACTCAATAATAAAAAGGCTGATATGATATGGCAAGGCAGTAATAAGTTAGGCAAGCAAATTTACATATACACAATTTATATACGTGTATGTGAATGTTTTTTAAAACTGTGTTTATGATTATAGGTGCCTCGTCAAACATTTTCACTTCGCTGCTTTACAACCACTACAGTGCACCCAGTGGCTTCTGCTTTGATGTTTTATGCCAGGAAGATCCGATTGTCACTGATGAACGCAACAGCGAATACAATTTCAAATCGAAAGTAGAAAACTTCAACAATTTCATTCGGTCCCAAGCTTCCCATTACAAAACAAACAACATTATTATTACAATGGGTGATGATTTCAACTACCAAGACGCTGTTTCTTACTATAGAAACATGGATAAACTGATTGAGTAATTATATTCGTATTTATCGTCTGTAAAATAAAATTTAATTTTTTTTTTTTTTATAGAGGTTTCAAGCTATGGCCACAAAAATTCCGTGATCAAGACATTAACCTGTTCTACTCCACACCAGCTTGTTACGTGAAAGCAGTCAACGATGCTGTTAACTCCAACGATATTGAATTACCATTGGAAACCTATGATTTCTTCCCGTACGCTAGCGATTACAATTCCTACTGGTCAGGTTATTACACTTCTCGTCCGGCGTCCAAACGCTCCGAAAAATCATCGAGTAACTTGCTTCAAATCCACAAACAATTGGCGACTTTCACACGAAACGCCGGCGAAGACGAAATCGTTCAAATGCAAAAATCTGTTGGTATTATGCAGCATCACGACGCCATTACTGGTACGGAAAAACAACATGTCGCTAATGACTACGCAAGGATTATGGATGAAGCTTTCAAGGATAGTGAAATGAAAATTAATGGATACATTTCGTAAGTTTTAAGTTGAACACAAATCATTATTACAACATTTTAAATTTGTGTTATTTTATAGAAAACTACTGAGTAGCAATTCTTCGCAGCAGATTTCATTAAATTTGAAGCAGTGCTTATTGAAAAACGAAACAATTTGCGCTGAAAGCACTTCTGACACGTTCACAGTTGTTGTTTACAATCCTCTCGTCCACAAAACAAAGTACCCTGTGAGATTCCCAGTGAATTCATTGAATTTTGCTATCACTGGACCAAATGGTAAACTTTTACATTTTAAACACTTTTGTAAATCAAATTATCATAATGATTTTCTTAACTTATTTAGATGAAAGCGTAAATTATCAAATCAGTGACAGCATTGCATTTGAAGAAGGAAAAGAAAATGGTAACCAGTACGAGTTGACTTTCATTGCTGAGTTAGACGCGTTGGGATTAAAAGTTTATAACGTGAAGAAATCATCGACTGTTGGTTATGAAATGGATAAACCAACCACCGATGCATGCAAATGCAAATTAGGAGGAATTGTAATTATTAATTTAAAAACTCATCTATTGATGTTTTACTTAATTAAAACTGTTTCAGGCTAGGGGTGTTAATATTGATTCGTCAACTGGTCTTTTGGAGTCCGTCACAATTAATGGTAAAGAACTGAAGGTGCGCCAAGAATTGCTTTACTACCTGAGTGCTCAGGGCGACAATTCTGAGTTTTCAAAACGTTCCTCCGGAGCATACATTTTCAGAAATTTGAATGGTACTGTTGCACAACAAATGTCTGATAAGGTGGAATTTACAACGTACAAAGGAGAAATTTACGATGAAATTCATCAGGTGTTTGGCGATTGGGCCAAACAAACGATAAGAGTTTACCACGATGAAGGTGTTAATGATAACATTGAGTTCGAGTGGTATGTTGGGCCTATTCCTGTCGAGTAAGTATATACAAATACTTTATCTGCTTTTTTATAGTGGTTAATTTTGTAAATTCGTTGTTTTGCAGTGATGAGCAAGGAAAAGAAGTGATTTCTCGTTTTACTACCGAGTTAGAAACTGGTAGAGATTTCTATACCGATTCAAATGGCAGGGAGATGATCCACAGAATTCGAGATTTCCGTCCAACATATACCTACACCAATGAGGAGCCCATTGCTGGAAATTACCATCCTGTAACCGCTCAGATTACCATTACGGATGGAACTACAAGGCTTAGTGTTTTGAATGATCGTTCACAGGGTGGCACTAGTTTAGAATCTGGACAAGTGGAAGTAATGGTAAGGAATATCAATTTGTTCGTTTGTGTCGCTTTCACGCATAAACTACTCAATGAATTATGATAAATTTTGGTATAGAGATATTTTTGACTTAAGAATAACAATTAGACTACTTTTTTTCACAAAAATATAACTTGTAAGGTGTTAAATAACGGATGAAAGTTGGTGCAGAGTTTCGATTACGAGGTTATGTTGTTTGACAGTTGATTGAGAAAGTAGGCAACCATATGACAAATGCATTTCTTACTACCTCATAAATAACATGAATTTCAATGATAGTGAACAAAATTAAGTTAAAATTAGCTTACAACAACATTTTTAGATGAGTTTATACGAAATTTGACGAAATAGTTAGAATTTTTTAATTTTTACACAAATAAAAACTGATACTTAATCAAGCATTAATATTTAAACAAATAGGTTCATCGCAGAATGTTGAGAGATGATGCATTTGGAGTTGGTGAGGCCTTAAACGAAAAGGATGGCGATCAAGGTTTGAAGGTACGCGGACGCCATTACCTGACCATAACTACACCAGAAACACAAATCATTGAACGTCGTTTGGCCAATCGCATTTCTATGGAACCCTGGGTATTCTTTGACAGCACATCTGACGTTTCAAATTTAAGTCTGAAGAAAGAGGTATGTTACTAACATAAACATACTTAACCCAACTTAACCTAATCTACAACTCAACCTTACTTTTGCTTATTTCTTTTACAGTTTACTGCACTTAAACAAACATCTAATTCAGTAGATGAAGTTGTCAAGCTATTAACCCTGGAACCAATTTTAAGTCATAAAAGTACCCTTCTCATTCGTTTGGAAAACTTCTGTGATTGGGATGACAAAAAGCAAGTTACTGTAAACCTTGAGGTAAAACATAAACTCAATAAAAGTGAATTAGAAATATAATACAATCAATTAATTTCAGGACTTTTTCGTTAACTTTGACATCATGACGTTGGAAGAAGTAAACTTGGCTGGAAACATCCTTAAAGACAGACTGGCTTGGAATCAATATCCATCTGTCAAGACTTCAAACATTAAAGATTCGTTTGAAGTGACTTTGAAACCGTTTGAAATTAAAACGTTTAAAGCCATTGTTAATTATAAGTCATCTTTGTATTGATTTGTATGACCGATAAGAATTCTATTATGAAAATTAAATCAATTTAACTTGACAGAACGGTATTTTGTTATTTTCATCGATTTTTATCTTATCTATTCATCTAGAGATGTTTTAAGTATCGCATGTTAATTGTGGTGTAATTCACAGCTTAATAATACAATAACCAATTTGATATCTTATCTATGGATTTCATTTCGAGGATAACTGTTGGCAAGTTTGTGATCTATTTCATGATCATGCGTATGCGTTTCGCATATTTGGAGCACACCTCAACCATGTCGCTCCAAACGATTTTTTTGTGTCTTTTAATCACACTTTGTGCTTTTCAACTTAATATTGAAGCCAAACCATTGGATACTACTTCAGCAACACAATGTGGCTATCAGGTAGATAATTATATTAATCATAACCATTTCTTATACTAATTTGTTTGTTTAGAGTTGTAATAGAGTACAAGAAGGCGCTTTGAATGTTCACGTTGTTTCGCACTCGCACGATGACGTCGGATGGCTTAAAACCGTCGAGCAATACTACGATGGATGTATGTATTACACAATTACCATTAATAGTTATTAATATAGGTTATGTTTTATCAAAACAGCAAACAGAGAAGCTCAGTATGCAAATGTAAGCGAAATTATATCATCGGTTATTGACGCTTTGCAAGCCAATCCGGAACGTCGTTTCATTCAAGTGGAATCGTTCTTTTTCCATAGATGGTGGACGCAGCAAAATGAAGAGACCAAACAGATTGTGCATAAATTAGTCGAAAATGGCCAATTTGAGTTCACGGGCGGTGCTTGGAGTATGAATGATGAAGCTGCAGCTGATTTTCATTCAATTATCGATCAATTCACTTTTGGTTTGAAGTATGTTATTTCCCAACATTACAAAACATATTTTACTGATTTATCTATTGATAGGTTTTGAATGACACATTCGGTACTTGTGGGCAACCAAAAATCGGATGGCAAATTGATCCATTTGGTCACAGCAGTGAAATGGCGTCCATTTTCGCCCAGATGGGTTATGATGGGTTATTCTTCCCACGTATTGACTATAGAGACAAAAATAATCGATTGAATGATCAAAAACTTGAAATGATTTGGCAAGGCAGTCAGAGTCTTGCAGATGAATCCAATATTTTCACTTCTATTATGTTTAATCATTACAACGCACCCGAGGGTTTTTGTTTTGATGTTACCTGTCATGATGATGATATAATCACCGAAGAAGGCCAGGCGGATTATAATTATGAAACAAAAGTGAAGAAATACGCTAAGGTCATTACCGATGCTGCAACACATTACAAAACCAATCATTTATTGGTGCCAATGGGAGGTGATTTCAATTACATGGATGCAACGAAATATTTTGGAAATTTGGACGCTTTGATCAAGTATAATACTTATTTATCTACACTTTAGTGATTAGAATAATCTAATACTTTAACTTAAACCTTTTTAGAGGATTTACGGTTTTCCCACAAACATTCAATAAGAAACCCATCAATATCTTCTACTCGACGCCATCTTGTTATGTCAAAGCAGTGAATGAGGCAATTAATGCTGAGAATATTGAATTACCAAAAGAAGAAAAGGATTTCTTCCCGTACGCTACTGATTCTCAAACGTTTTGGACGGGTTATTTCTCATCCAGGCCAACATCAAAACGATTTGCTAAAGAGGCACTAAATTTCTTACAAGTGCACAAACAATTGGCGACATTTACACAAGCAACGAACGAGAGTGAATTGTTTATGATGCAGAATGCTGTTGGAATCATGCAGCATCACGACGCCATTACCGGTACGGAACAACAACATGTCGCCAATGACTACGCTAGGATTCTTCATGAAGCGTTCCTTGACAGTGGCTCGAAAATAAACGAACATATTTCGTAAGTACTTTTATGATAATTGCTGCAAATAGAAACAAAAACATTATTTTATTATAGGAAGTTGTTAAGCAAAGATGCATCTAAACCAGTCCAGTTGAATTTGAACCAATGCCTTCTGAAAAATGTCACTATTTGCTCAGAAACTAGCCACACACAATTTGCTGTAGTGCTCTACAATCCAGCATCAACGCCAATCAAATATCCAGCCAAAATTCCAGTTGATACCTTGGATTTAATAATAACAGCTGCAAATGGTAACTACTTCAATATCCTTGTAATTATTATATCATTTCTTTTGATATTTCAGGCGAAAATGTCAAGTATCAAGTAGTGCCTAGCATTGCGTATGTAGAAGGTGTCTCCATGAAGTACGAATTGACTTTCATCGCAGATTTACCCCCAATGGGAATGAAAGTGTATCATTTCAAACCCGCCGATGTTGTTACTTTCCTCTTAGATGTAGACCAATCAGAAGATAGGTTTAAATTAGGTGGAGAACGAACTAGTGCCATTCTTGACCAATCCACGGGACTTCTAGAGTCTGTGAGAATTAACAACATTTCTGCCAAAATAAAACAAGAATTGATGTATTACAACAGTATGCAAAACAGTGGGCGTAATTCCGGAGCATATGTGTTTAGAAACGACGGTGATGCAGTGGCTATTAACCAAGATGGCGCCGAAGTGACCACGTACAAAGGAGACATTTTTGATGAGGTGCATCAAGTGTACAGTGATTGGGCGAAACAAGTCATCAGGATTTACAAAGATCCCGAATTGGCTGATCATGTTGAGTTTGATTGGCTGGTTGGACCCATTCCTATTGAGTAAGTGTCTAAAACAAGCAAACTAACTTATATTCAGCGTAATTGATTGATTTTTTGCAGTAATAAGCAAGGAAAAGAGGTTATCACTCGTTTTACATCTGATTTCGAAACCGGTGCGGATTTCTACACAGATGCTAATGGTAGAGATTTGATGCATCGAGTGCGCGAGGAAAAATCGGAGAAAATCTCGGGAAATTACTTCCCTGTCACATCAGAAATAGCCATTTCGAATGGACAGGAACGTATGGCTGTTCTCAATGATCGTCCTCAAGGTGGTTCAAGTGTGCAATCAGGTCAAATTGAACTGATGGTAAAAATATTATACTTTTAACTATTTTAAATTAATTTCAATGTTAATTATTTACTTCAGATTCACCGACTTACGCTCAGAGATGATTATTGGGGCGTTGGAGAAATTCTAAACGAAACAGAAAATGGCGTCGGCTTGAAAGTTCGTGGCAGTCATTTCTTGACACTTACTCATGATGAGGACCAGAATGTGGAACGTTACTTGGCTAACAAAATCGCATTTGCTCCTTGGATGTTCTTCGATAAACACATTAAATTGTCAGCGATCAATTCTGATATAACTTCGGAAGTATGTAGAAGCACTGAAATTAAGATTTAGTTGTTAGAAATGTCTCACTATTTACATTTTAGTTCATTGGATTGAATGAACCTTTGCCGGAAAGCACTCGAGTATTGACTCTGGAGCCTGTCGCAGAAGAAGAAAATACTGTTTTGCTACGCTTAGAGAACTTCTTGCCTTCTGACATTGGTGAAACACAAACTGTGAATGTCAAAGTAAGTATTTTCTATAAAAAAAACCTAAACAAACAAACTAAATATGTGTATAAACATAATTGATGAAATTTCTTTCAGAATTTGTTCGTACATTTTGAAATTCTGAGCTTGGAAGAGATGAACCTCGCTGGTAATGCACGTAAACAAGATTCGCCGAGATTAAACTGGTATAATTACGCTTCCCCAAGTGAGTCAACCGACAACTCTCTGGACGTTACCCTGAAACCGATGCAGATTAAAACTTTCATTGCCCGTGTTAAATACGTTAACTAAAGTTCATGTCATGATACTAATTGCTTTCTTGTTTGCTTCACACAACATTTAATGTTATATATAATTGTTTCAAATATAACTCTATGATAAAATCTTCAATTCAGAATTAAAAATAAATAATTAAACGCATGAATTAATAAAATCTGTACCCTCCTTGAAATTGTTAACAAATTGCAATAATATTGTATATCATTAGTTAAAAAATAGGAATGAATATCCACTAAGATTAGTTTGTATATATGTTTTGACCGTTTGTGTTAAAATGCATTTTATAAATGCAAAGATTGATAGTAGCTGACTAAAACCTGCCATGCTTTAGGTGCCATGAAACCATCCGGAGGATTTTCCCCGCTGCGAGCCAATGCTCTCATTCTTGTGCCTGAAATGAAATCAAAATCGTCTTTCCTGCTCGGATCAAAGAACGCCATTCTTTGATGGCGTTTGTCGTAAGCTGCCACGCGGAACGGAATGATTTCCAATGTGTCTAAGCCAGGCGCCATCTTTAAAACACGCCCGCCATGCATGACATCATATAGATTACCATCAAGACTTGCTTCCTTTCCATCTGGATGTGGCACGCCGGCTGGATCACGCCCAACTATGTAAAAGTTAGCACCGGCGTTCATACGAGCCTTTGCGTGCCATTGCACTTCGGTAGGACCTGCATACATCATCGGACTGGGAAAAATAGCTAAGACGGTTGATTGTGCGTCCAGTAGACCTTCATCCATGACAGCTTGATGTTGTTGCATGCGTTCTGGCAGTGGGACATCGTCGTCTTTCACCCAACCACCGAGTGGATGCAAGAGTAGCACCGGACGCTTAAATCCGCGTTCTTGAAGTTGTCGTTTGGTGTCCGACATTAACAACGCATGCCCATTGTGAATTGGGTTGCGTAGTTGGAACGCAAACACAGCATCGGCGCGCATTGCCTTAAACTTCGCACGGAGTTCATTGGGCGTGTAGCGATACTCATCTAAACCGTCATTCCAACGGATACGGTGAAGAACTTCAAGATCACCTCCAACTAACCAATCGCCAGATTCCATGATTAGTTTGATATGCGGATGGTTCTTATTAGTGGTGCCGAATTGACGAGCGCAGCGCTCTTCCTTGCGGTGGTGATAAAACTCAGGTTTGCGAAGAATAGCCACGCAAATGCCGTTGTAATACAAGGAAATGCCCGAGGTTTCGTTCAAGCGTTCCTTATCCTCTGCTGTGCAAGGTAATACTATTGGTATGCTTTGATTGATGGCGTTTTTGCCGTTGAAGTTGCAATTGAAGTGGAGGGTTTGCAAGAATTCGTTTTCTCGCATGAAGCCTTTGAGTGGTGAAGCCCAACCTTCACTTAATACCTTAAGAAACAAGAAATTTACAAAATTATGAAAGAAAAAGCAATTGCATTGTTTGTTTTTGGAAATTAATTCCGATTTGATAAAAACGAAAAGAAAACTTTTCCATTTGCATTATTTGTGAAATTGTATGAATAGCAATTAAATTTTTATGTACTAATCTGTTGCCAACGACGCAAACTGATAAGAGTTATGAAAACGTGCGTACGGCGCTCGAGTATGCTCAATGTCGTATCAACTTTCATGTGAAGTGCAGTGATTTTACGCAAGCAAATGACATCACCAAATAACTAGGTAAATTAAGCATAAAGTGTAAGTATTGCTGAAAATATTAAACAATCAGGTTACCATAGTGAATAAAAAAACATAAAGCAACATTTAAAGTGTCAATACTGACTCTATGTTGTGATATGAACATAAACTTTGCAGTTATGTATATAATTCTAAAGAAAAACATGAAAATTTCACTTACTTGGACCCATTGCAGATCAATCAAGTTAATATTGATCCCAGGCAAGGAAGCAGCCTCCTCCCTAGCAGCAGCCAATCTTTCTTCAGGAACAATCAACTCCTCCACCACATCCTGATTAATAACTTCCTTTGGAATAATTCCATTCTCCTGCAACATCTCCACCACTTGCAGCATGCTTTCCTCCACTGTCAAAGACACTGTTTTGACAACAAGCTCAGGATGTTCTGGGGTCTCATAAGGTTGGTCTATTCCAGTAAAACCCTTGATGTCACCCTTCCTTGCCTTTACATACAACCCCTTGGTGTCTCTCTGTTCACAGACTTCAAGTGGTGTGTCAACAAACACCTCAAAAAATGGCAGATCTGATTCCCTGTGAATAATCCTAGCCAAATCCCTATCTTCAGCAAATGGAGATATGAAACTGCAGAGGCAAATCTGCCCAGCATCAGCAAACAACTTAGCTACTTCTGCTACCCTCCTGATGTTTTCTTCTCTGTCCTGTTTGGAAAAACTAAGATCTTTATTCAGACCTGTCCTCATGTTGTCACCATCAAGACCATAGACAGGAATTCCATGTGATACTAAATATGCTTCCAACTCAAAAGCAATTGATGTCTTGCCAGCTCCAGATAAACCTGTAAACCAAACTGTGCATCCTCTGAAACCTCGGAGATGTCCCAGGATTTGACCGCGTTTTGCTCTGGATACATGATGTTTCTGTTCTGTTACATTAGTTGCCACTTGCATTGAAGTTCTTTGCTTCTTGTAGATTTCATGTGTGCTCGTCATTTTAATACTGATTTTCGGCAGTTATTCCCTGATAATAAAATAAAAGTTAGTATTTCAGTAAAAACAAAAACGAAAGATTAACAAATCAATAAAAGGTCGTTAAATATGCTATCGTGTACGTGTAAATAGCGCTTACCGAAAGATATAATATATCAACGCTGATGATAATCCTGGCTATACGAACACGTAAGTTGTAGTATTTCGAAGAATTGGGTTAAATATAATTGTACAAACAGTTAATAATTTACTGTTGTATATTTCGTGTCGTGTTTTCGGGTGTTGGGTGGGAATTTCACGTTCATGTACCGCGGAAACGAAATGTAGCGCAAACGCAAATGTTTCCCCACTTCTTGACCAGTCATGGACTTTCAACCAATTACAACACATACGAAGTGCATTTTTGCACATTATAACTTGTTGATATTCAAGCAGTGTATGTTTATGATGCATTCACATACACTATTGCATCAGATATGTAAATGTCAAACAGTAAATACAAATTACGACAGAATACTTTTGTTTTTCTTAATTTAGACGTAAAATTAAACGGATTATGGTTAGTTTGGTGTAATGCCTGCCCTGTCTTTGATTTTCCTGCTGTCCTGCTGATTTCAGCTGTGCTCATGATGTGTTGCTATGTTTGTTGTGTAGCGGGTAGTCTAAATCGAGCCGCTGTTCGAGCCGGGCTGCTAACAACAAATATTCGTCATTTTTAAATCATTCTCGTCTAAATATATTTTACTACTTCGATAAAATGGCTTGGCTACCACTGGAATCCAATCCTGATGTAAGTATAAGCAGAACCTACGTACTTTCTTCAATAATAACTATTTTATTTGTTTCTTTAGGTTATGAATAAGGTGAGTTGACAAATTTGTATTCAATCTGCCGACAATGCACTTTTACTATGAAGCCGGTTGAAATATAATATGCACAATTGCAGTTCTTGCAAATGCTGGGCGTGTCGTCGGAATGGAAAGTCGTGGATGTCTTCGGCCTGGATGATGAGTGCCTTGCTTGGGTGCCTAAGCCTGTATTGTCAGTTATTTTGCTCTTTCCCTGCAGTGAGAAAGTAAGTTTTTATTTATAGATTTACCAATAAATTCTTTCAATGGTTGCCTTGATCTTGATAAATATAGAATAACAAGAATTTATAAATCACATCAGTACATAAAAAGGCAAAGTGTACAATATATAATATTAACTAAACGAAATTTCTTAAAATTTGTTTGGAAAAAGTGCCAAATATTACATTTTATGCTTTATTATATGAATGTATGAGCCTAGAATCAAATCATAACTTGAAATACCACTAAATATGTTTAATTTTCTATTAGTATCATGAATTTGCAACTCAAGAACAGAAGGAAATTGAAGAAAGAGGCCAAACTGTGTCTGACAGCATCTATTACATAAAGCAGTTGGTGTCAAATGCCTGTGGAACAATTGCTCTGCTTCATTGTGTTGCTAACAACTCAGACAAGTAAGTTATGGCTGTACTATCCTTCTATGTATTGATTTCCTAAGGTCAAACACTATATTATTCATTTATGATCAAATGTTTCTGTCATTTGTCTCCAGACTACAGGTGACCAATGAGAACTTCAAAAAACTACTGGAAGAATCCATGACGTTATCTCCTTTGGAGCGCGGACAAAAACTGCAGGCAGTTGCTGCTGGCATTCAGGATATGCACCAAGAATTGGCGCAGGAGGGACAGACTGAATTGAATCCCAATGAGCAAGTCAATCATCATTTCATTGCATTTGTTCACAAAGATGGCGATTTATATGAACTGGACGGCAGGAAAGAATTCCCGATTAATCATGGTAAAACTACTCCGGAGACTTTATTAGAGGTAAATATTCATACATTTTATACGAAATCATGTTATAAATGGCTATGATGTAGGACGCAGCAAGAGTATGCAAACAGTTTGTGGCCCGAGACTCCGAGGACGTCAATTTCACCGTCATGGCGCTGACCGCCGCCGAGAACTGATTTCTTCATTCATTATCCTCGCGAGAAGCACTGCAGCTTTTAAAGTTTTGCCATTTATTTTTTATATACCTTTAATTTAGCTTAAAAACAACCACAGGGAGTGCATTTTTACGGTGTGCGCATTTACGATGTGTCGCATAGCAACGCAACGCCTCGCAATATCCAATGTTCGGGTGGCTTCACCGTGCACAGCCATAATGGTGTGATGAAATTCAGATCTGTTCGATTCGCCTTCTTATATACCGGGCACTAAAAATCATAATCATTTGAATTAAATTGTGTATCAGCAATGAATGAATAATAAAACAATATTGATATTATGCATATTCACGTACAGCGTATAGTTTTGGATCTTTCGCTGCGGTTGAGAATATTGCGAAGATGTGTACAACAGGTAACTGCGTGTAGAGTACTTTGTTTGTTGATTCTGTCAAGCGTGAATGCCGGCGCTCCCAACCAGCTCCGTCTATATACAGACCATAGACGTACACACCCTCCGGAGGTGATATTTTAATCTCTTCGCGCATATTTTTGGAAACTTCGTTGTGTAGAACTACTTGATCAAGCGCCCAGCCTTTGTGTGCACGTGCAACTTCTTGTCGCATTGCGGTTAAAAAGCCTTGAGGGTTAAAGAATCCAGTCATCCAGAATATTACCGGACGGCCGCCATAACACCACGTGCGGAATTGTTGATCTCTGTCAATTACTTCAGAATACCAGAAACCTATACTTGTTGCTGACCAGGAGTTTCTAATCCAGATTTCGGGCACGCGTGCGTCGAAAATGTTATCCAAAGCGTCTCTCAAACTCTAAATTTTTAATATTAATAAATTATTTCATATCGCAAATAAAATAGTTGATAATATAGGTTAAGTACCTCGTTCATTATAATAGTGCCTTCAATGGCCAATAAAAGATCTTTTAGTGTGACGCGAATTAACAAGATAACGCGCTGCATTCGGTCGATTTCCTGACGTAGAAATATATTTAACGGGTTTAAATGTCCCATGATTCGAAGGCGTTCTTTCACTTCGAATGGATCATAATCTTCCGGCAGTTTACTCAACATTTCCAAGCAAATTCGTGTGACTTTAACTTCTCGGGTTTCACCACCTCCTGCGCTTGCATCTTTCGGTTGAATTGATAATATTGTTGACAGCATTGCGTTGCAATAATTGGAGGAAAAGCTATAAATGCAAGTTGATAATTTATGCTGTAAATATTAAAATTAAATCTTTACGTTATATCTGCATTTGGATGTAATCCGTATGCTTGAGGTGGATCAGCACCCGGAAATGACTCGATTGTAGTTATATAATCAGTGACTTGTTTATACTTGTAGATTTTATATCCTTTATAAAACTGGAAATCGTCGTTGAACATTTTGTCACTGAACCACACCTTGGCGAACGTGTTTAGTAAGCGTTTGTCGTAATCATCGGTAACTCTTCCGCCATATTGTACTTCTCCAAGCATGTATCTAGTGAAATTTCTCATGTATTTAATATTTTATGTACTTAATTCTTTTTAAATTTAAATTACCGTATTGTAGTCCAGCTGATTCCCAAAATAGGATCTAAATCATCCAGATGATTCTGTATAAACATACAACTGGCCAACCAATCAGCCGAATTAAATTCGTACGGAATATTCCACCCTAGAGGCCCAAATTTCCTGCGCTCTTGAACAACGGTGTGTAAAAATGATATTGCATAGACCAGTGGTATATATTCCGCTTGATCAGAATAATCCAACATGTCTTGACTCATAGACGTGTATGTTCTTAACAATCCAGCACGAATTCCTATGATACAAACAATTTTTGTGTAAAAATATTGTTTTTGCAGTAAAAATATAAGTTTATAATAACCTGATGGTGGTTCATTGGTAAACTTAATACACATCTGCAATAAACCAATCGGAAAATCATCATGTACTTCCGTTGTAATCCACAGACGGAAATCTGGATGTGTTGGATTTGTGGCCTTTTCCATCTCTTGAAAATCTAGCATAACTTCATCCATATAATCCAATCCAAGATGTGTATTTTGTAACAAAGCCCAAAACCCTTGAAAAATGTCAAATTTTAGTTAAAATTCACAAATTTATACAATTCTCATCTAATACTTCTGATTCAGCTTCAGCTAACATCTTCCTTGCATGAACTTCTTGTCCTTGCCCCATGGACATAGTCTTCACTCTATTCTCAACTCGTTTTGCCAATGTTTCAATGTACGGTGTGGGATCAGAGCCTATACTTAAAAAGCAAATCATTGGCGTCATTGGACGACTTTCTTCTAACATTGTATTAAGATTCAGGATCACAGGCTCTGCATATTTTTGTCCTAGTGAAGACGCAATGTATTTTTTGCTTTGTGTGTATGTACGATCCGGACACCATGCACGAATTAACAACAGTTTTCTAAATGTATCTAAAGTATTATATCCATCTGGAATAGGTGCTTCTTCAGGTATATCTTTATCAAACCATGATTTCCACAGTTTTTCATTGTTTGTAATTTGAGTGACTATGTATTGGAAATGGCGTAGTTTCGATAGTTCAACTAAATTCAACCAAGTCATATCCAGAATCCATTTGGCAGGTTTTGGTGCAACTGTATTTAAATCCAAAGCGGCACCACCCTTGATGAAAATACTAAATTCTTCATGACTGATGTGCTCACGTTGTAAGTCGATTTTTAGAGTCATCATCAACACAAACATGTACTTGTCCCTTTCATATAGACCCCGTGATTTATACTTGAAGATTTCATATGTCAAGTATTCTATTATGTTGTTGATTCGTCTGAAAGTTAAATTAATGTTTTAAATGTTTTAGGTAATAAGTAAATCAACAAAAACAAGTTTATACTTTGTTTGAACATTGCTCTTGTCCGATCTTAACATGGAAAGATCAAAGCGTTCCAAAAACTGTACCAAAGATGTTTGATACATGCAGTTTACCATTGCCATAGTGGTAATTAAGAAATACAACACACTTCCGCGTGTTGCAATCGGTCGGAACTCTTCACGGGCCGCGTTAATTTTAATCTCAGTTTCCCTGGCGATACTCAACTTTTCACGCACTTCTGTTGCAGTATTTTTGGTGATATTCAACACACCAATCAATGATTCATCCTCAACAAGATTTCCTTGAGTTGTTGTCAGTTTATACAACAAATTCTGCTCCAATTCACCGATTTTACGCTTGTTTGCTGTTACATCTTTCATTAATGTTGTACGCTCAGTTTCCAACTCTCGTTTTTCACTGAGAATCACACGGCCTAACAATTGGTCTTCAAGACCTTTCATGGTTACAGTAAAATCAATGATTGAAGTTCTTGCAAAAATCTCAGGAGTGTATGATGGATTGGCCAATTTGGTAGTGATATAAACTCGGAAGCCTTTCACGAAATCAACTTCTTTATCACCGATTTTAACTTTGTACATTGTGCCTATTTTGATCAAATTTTTCTCTAGAACATTATCCAAAACAGGATCTAACTCTTCACCTACATCTTCGATGATTAATGGACGACCCAGAGTCACTGCATCTTCAATATGATTCCTGAAGTACTTATGGCTTAATGCAGTAACAACAAGATCATTATTCATTTCTTTGTTTTAACCCAATTCTTGCCTTGATTCTGTGGATCAATTAGTAAAGGAAATCGTGTTGCCTTCGTCACAATGATTGCATTTTGAATGGATAACTCGTCAGTTGGTAAGCCTTCCAAGTTCCATTCACCAATCTAAACCAAAAAAATACATAAATATGGAAAATAATTTTAAATAAACACTAATTTAGTTATATTTACAGTTGCTGTATCTGCCATGCTCTCAATCACGTTAATATTGCTGGAAACGGGAATCTTGTGTTCAAGAATCATCTTGTTCCAGTCTCTCTGCATCATGATTCTCAATTCCTGATTGAATGGACCTGCATAGCCCAAGAACGCAGTCAATATCAAAACGTCACCGATCAAACGCTCTGTTTCCGCTTTGAACTGAGCTGATTGTTCTGTCCAACGAACTCGTTCACCACTCAAGCCATTAATCAAAGCAGTTGCTGCATCCATCTTGGATTTGACTTTATTGGCATCATCCAAAACAGCTTGTTTGAACGTCATTGCTGCATCATACTTTTCTTGACATTGTTTCACTTCTGCTTCTTTCGTCTGCAGTAACTTCATAGCTGCACCTAGTTCTGTTTGTGCTTTGTCTAGTTTTGCTTGTTGTCTCACCAAATTAGCTTTCAGTGGTAAGACATCTTTGTTTACTTTATAAAATGATGCCATTGCAATTGTCCATGAAATCAAACCAGCTACATTACCGCAAGCTGTTTTGGCTGCTTCGTAGTTGTAAGTGGGGAAGTCAAAGTAAGGAATTAGCAAGTCTAACATTTCACCGTTGATTGTATCCTTTGGATATTCTTGTAATTTTTGTAGGAATTTAGTATCTGCCATTACTCTAAGGGATTCACTCCAAGATGTAACAAGGAACTTTTTCTCTGGATCAACCTGAATAGGTTCCATCTTCTTTCGGAAGTAAATATTTACAGCGTCCATGATCAACATAATCAAATGTGGAGGTTTGCCTAGTTTACGCACAGTGGCAATATCCGCCGCTTTGATTGTTAACAACGCTGCTTCAGCTGCATCTAACGCCGGTTTAGCATCCTTTAATTTAGTTTCAGCTTCTTGTTGATCCACACTGATATTAGCCACTAATACTTCAGCCTTTTCCTTTACAACAGTCGCTTCTTCTTTGATTTTATTCGCTATCTCAGAAGCCTCCATAACGACATTCAAAACCTTCTCAGCTTCGTTGGTAGCGAGCACAATATCCTTTTCTTTTATTGCTAGTTCCTTCCGCAATATATCAACACTAGCGCCTGCTTCAACCAGTTTACCAAGTCCAGTCTTCATACGCACAGCTAACACCTCAATATCTTCATGTTTATCACCATATAAAGCTTTGTAACTACTCAGGAATGATAAAAATGTTTTAGGTGTAACAAAAGTTTGTCGCCGGAATCTGTCAAAGTAATTAATGCAAACATCTCCAACATAGTCCTGAACTTCGGAAGTCATCAGAATCAATTCATGCTTTGCTTCTGGTGTGCAAACAATCGGGAAATTAAGCAGAATATGTTCACTAACTTCGATCAGAGCATCCAGTGGCCATTTTGAGAACCAATCCATAGTCACGCCTGATATTAAACCAGGGAACTTCATTGCACGACTACGGAACTTGTCACTCACAGGTGAGAAGCACAAAACCACATGAAGATTATTTCTGGCTCTTGAAATGAAGAAATCATACAGATT